TCGGGCTGAAGCCCCCAAAATGGTGGTTAAATGTAACGATGTTTTACAGAAAAAAAAACTATCTGTTAAAGTATTCTTGTTCGTGTAATTATATTTTATAGGACTTAAACATAGAACATAGAACCACTTAAACATAATTTCATATAGGTAATTAATTTCTTTCTTTTTTTTTCAAATTAATTATCGTTACATGTATATGAAAAAAAAAATCCTTCGGGCTGAAGCCTCCCCCAAAACTAAATCCTGGATCCGCTATTGTCCAAGACTACATATATATGTTTATTCTAAAATGAAGGTAAGAACAAACAAAAAAAAATAGTTTTAAGGGTGTACATCAAGATTAAACACATGAATGTTGTCTTCATGTAACAATAGTAACATCAATTAATATTAATATGTATTATCTAATAATATTATTAAATTATATAATATTAATTTGTATTATATATAGTAACACAAATGCAATGGTGGTTTTTATTGAATACAAAAACTGTTGTAGAGCCATTAAGATAGATGGATAAAAACTGTTAAAATAATTTAAAGAAAATTATAGAATTATGTAGGTATAAGAAAAAGACAAAAACAGGGCTTTCCTAGAAATGTTTCTTAGAATTAAAAAAGTTCAAGACATAGGAATAATTATGTAATAAAAAGAAGAAGAAACTTAAAGATTTTAATATAGCATTATTTATTATTTTGTGAAATGTCTTGGAAGTCAACAAAACTGTTGCAAAATTTCTAAACCTTTCTAGAATAATGGTCTCAGTTCATTTTTTAAGCAGCTATATAACTATTCATTTATAACTTTTCCCTTCAAAATTCTGGTTCTTCTACCTCATGGAAAAAAACCTAATCCATCCTATTAACAGAATCCCCAACCCTACATCTCCTGAAGATTACTGCCTAATTTCCATCCTCTCTAACCTGTCAAAATCTTTAGAAAGAATAGTCCAATCCCAAATATCCAATTTCCTCAAAGAGTTCAAAGTTCTTGATCCTCTCTGATCTGGCTTCCACCTGGGCTTTTCCACTCAATCCGCTTTAGTTAAAATCAAAAATGACATTCATACTGCAATGGACGAAAAAAGCTAATTGTACTAGTACTCCTGGACTTCTCCAAAGCATTCGATTCCTTTGACTATTCTGTACTCTTCACTAAATTAAAATCTCTATCCTCCTCGAATAGTGCTATCCTTTGGTTCCAATATTTCCTTTCCCATTGGACTGAATCAGTTAATATTCCAAATCAACCCTTATCTTCCTTCCTTACTCTGTCCTCTGGAGTAACCCAAGGTTCGAGTGGTTCCCCTCTTCTTTTCAATGACTTTTCTAGTTTAATCCCCCATTGCTCACTATATGATGATGACTCCCAAATTTATTTATCCTTTCCACCCACTGGCTTGTTAGCAGCATTTGCTAATATTCAAACAGACCTAGATGGGATCAGTGTCTGGTCAAGCTCGAATAAAGTTAAATGCAAAGAAAACTTAGGCCATTCTTTTAGCTTCTAACTCTCTCCTTAGATCCATTATCACCCTTCCTTTTTTAATTATTAATTTTCCAACCTATCTCCTTCAGATCGTCTGTAAAAAACTTAGAAATTCTCATTGACGAAAACCTTTCCTGGAAACTTCATATAGCCCATATCTCCAGTAAGACTATTGGTACTCTTAAACTATTCCCGTCATCATCTTCCACAACCTATCCACAAGCTCCTCCTTTCCTCATTGATTTTCTCTCACTTTGACATCGGCTGTGTGGTACATGGTGTCCTGTCGATTGTGCTCAAAGAAAAACTGAAGAAAATCTTGTAACTGTTTATCAAGATTTGTTTTCGGTACTTCGAGATGGTCCCATGTGTCCCACCTGTATAGTAAGTTAAAGTGGCTGTTCCTCTCCTTCCGCCCGCCGATACTTCCTTGGAATTATACTTCCGGAAATTATATGCTGATACTTCCTTACTTTCCTATACCAAACGATCAACTCCCGGCACCCTTCCTATATCTACTGCCTTCTTCACCTCAAACCCTCAGTTCATTCCCAGAAAACAATATCACATGTCTCTGACCTCTATATTCTCTCCCATAGAACTAAATCCTACGAATGTTCCTTCATAGTCCACTCTGTTATCTTCCGGAATTCCTAACCATATAACATATGCCATTCCTCTATCCTGTCATTGTTCAAATAACTCCTTACCTCCCAAACAGGCGATCTGCAAATGTAAAATTTCTATTCATGAATTGAATTTTAGTAGAAGTGAATAATAGTGCCGACTGATTAAGTGAAAACACCAAAAAACAAAGCTTCTTCTATACAGACTTTTGTCTTTTCTTTACTTATTTTTTCATTTCGCCAAGTTTTATTTTTGCTTTCTGTATATATATACAATATAATTTTTTTTTTTTGTTCTCTTTACTCACATTACAACTATAATTAATCTTTAGAATATTCTATTTTAATTTTTTAGTATTTCCAGATTACTTTTCAAATTACTGTATGTATTAGAATTTTTATTAAGTTAGCCTATTGTTTATGTTTTTAATATCAAAAATGTGTTTTCTTTTCTCCAAGTTTTGATTTTTCTTTCTATACATAATGCATATATGTTTTTTGTTTTTTTTTTGTTTCTCACATTGCAACTAAAACTATTCTTGAAAGGATTTTATTTTTATTTTTTAGTATTTAAATTTCTGTATATATTGTTAGAATTTTTATTAAGTTAGTTTTTGGCCAGATATGTATTGTTTTATTTATTCATCATTGTTGTTAGTTTCTGGGAGGATTTTGTTCCAGAATAAAGTTTATTTTCTATTCTATTCCAACTATTAATTTTAATTGAAGTCATATATGATAATGTATGCAGTTATCCTTGTGGACTCACATTTAAGCTAAGAAATTAGCATTTTATCGTTACTGAAAAACTATTGATGTTATGTAATACTGATATGGGTGTTGGAGAGGAAACTAGATTGGCAAGTTGGTAATTTGCTCATTTTTGATTGGGTCATGTGCTAACCAGGATGGAAGAGTCAGAATTCATTTAACAGGACCACCAAAAAATAAGCAGTAACTAATCCATTTGAGAATGAAATCCATACTGCTCCAAACCGAACTATCTGCTACCATCGCTCTAACATGCTTGGCTTTAACTACCTAAATGTGTTGTCACTGCACCAGCAATAGTTGATTTACCATAATTTCCTTTTCACATCACCATTGGCAGTGGTAATGTTGTTTATTTTATTTTTCAAAAATATGCAATGGTGTCAAAAAGTCTTGGAACAAACCAAATTTTTATAAAAATGATTTAACCTTACTGACAATATAGATATAATATATATTTAAACCAATCCATTGTGTTGACATTTTTTGATCATCTGGATAATGCTATGTTATTTTTTAAAATCACTACTTTGTTTTCAACTTCAGTCTTGACTGTTTATTGTTAACACTTTGAGACATTGTATAAACTCTTAAATGTTGAGTTTATCTTTAAAAATTGTTCAAATTTTGGAATTCTTGACTTTTTTGTAATTTTATTTAACATTCAATATTTTCTTATATCCTATTTAATGTTACTTTTATTTTAGAGCATATGGAAAAATATCATATTTTTTATTGTTATCTTGCTGAAAAATAAAGTTCTATCCAATTACCTTAAGCCCAGATTGTATTTCCTGTATATAAGAATTTTATGATACCATTTTGCATCCAGTTTTTGATCTATTTGCATGAGGTTCCCACTCCAGATGTATAACCACATCCCCAAACCATAAAGAAGTCACTACCGCATTGTACTGTTAGCTGCTCACATTCATCCGAAAATTCAACTCCAGATTTCGTTAGAATCTAAATCGCTCCATTTGAAATCAAACATTTCAAATTTTGGCTCATCTCTCCATTTGTTTCATTCTTCTTCAGTCCCATTTTTGTGTTCTTTGGTAAACTTAAGTCATTTTCGTTTGTTTAAAGATCAAAAAAAGTTTTTTTTTTCCTGGTTTACAACCGTTAAAGCCAAATAATAAAAGTTTCCTTCTGATCAAGGAAGACAAAACTTGAGTCTTTGTACGATAGTGGCTATTTTCTGAGCCAGTTTTCTGCTAGATTTTTAGCAGTTGGCAAACAAAATAATTTTAAATGTTGTTCAAAATCAGGACTATGTTTTTTAGATGTGCCTGAATGTTTTAGGTCTTCAGTTTGCTTGGTTTTATTTAAATTTTTTATAATATAATGAATTCCAGAAATAGAACCTTCAACTTCATTTTGAATTTCTCTAATTGTAAGTCCTCATTGATGTAAAATTATAATTTTATGTTGGTTAATAGTATTATATTATGCCATATGCTCTGAAATAAAAGTAATATTAAATAGAATACAGAATTAAATAGAAATTTTTCACACAACTGTATTATGTATATCCCAATTAGTAACTTATAAACTTAATATATAAAAACCATGTAAAATACCTTTGCTGATGTTTTCATTAAATATCGCATTGGCCTGTAAATTAGATACATTGCTTATTTACTGTAAATAGTGTTGCTAATTTAAACAAAGCAAAATAAAATTGGACGCAATATTTGCTGATTATTCTATATCACTTAATCTTATCTAAATTGACATTAATAGAACCTTACCTTATCAGTTTCCTTTTGGTATAGTAAATATATAGTATACATTTTTAATTGACTTGTTCATTTACAGTTAGATTAGAGACGATTGTCATTGTCTATAAATTTTAAATTCTTTAAAAAATCTTTTTTTCTCAAAATTTATGTTCCTTCAAAATATTATATATATTGTTTTTAAATGTTATAGAATATCATTCATGTAATGAAAAATCATGGTGAAACTTATGTGGTTGCATAAAAAAAATATCTACATATAAATTTTATTTATGAAAATACTAATTCTTACAATTTGTCTTATAATGAAAAAACTTCACCACTCTTTCAAAATCAAAACTTCTAAATACTTTATCTATATATTCCCAACTATTAATCACCATTGAATGTCAATATCTGTTTTAGTGTTGATGGTATGCCTGATTTTATTCAATATTTATTATACCATTCATCAAAACAGGAATGTTAAGTTGGCAGATGAATATAATAGTGAGCCCTTTACAAAGGCTGTATGAGTAATCTGGGATGTCTTTCTTGAAGAATAAAATCCTACAAAGCTATCAGAGTTTCAAGATCATATAATTCATTTTCTTGATTCTATCTAAAATAAAGTGATCCATTAATAATTGAAAAAAATTTAGAGATAGATATTTTAGTTGCCTCCCTTTTTTTAATCATGAGGATAATAAATAAACATGATTTGCTGTCAAAGATTTATTTTATTCAGTATTCCAATGTTTTAACCCTAAGCATGTGGGCTATCTGGGAAAAGGTTACTATCTAGTCTAAAATCGAGAGCTCAATGATTTTTTTCTCTGATGAATGATGACACATATATGTGGGCCAAACCTTTACTAAGCTGAATAAAACAAATCTACTCTGCTAATCTTGATTATTTATCATCCCCTTAATATAAAAATGAATATGATATACCTTATATTTTTTTTAAATAATTGCAATAATGTTTAATTTGAAATTATTTACACACTTAGAAGTGTAAAGAAAATAATATAGAACATATCAATTATAATAATAAATGAGAAAACTATAGTTTAATCGGGATTTATTGGCAGCTCTAGGACAAGCTCAGGCAGCAATTAGTTGAAACTTTCAATGTATGTCTATATTTGTAAATAATATCAGAGATTTAGGGAGAAATGAAGCGAGATTCAACTTAGTTTCCACATGAGTTCACCTTTGGGCTGCCAAATAATTGAGGTAAATTACCTTACTATCCTCATCCTTCTAGATTTTTCCAAAGCATTTGACACAGTTGACCATAACATCCTCCTCACTAAATTGCATAATCTTCCTCTATCCAACAGTACCCTGTGTTGGTTCAAATCCTTCCTTTCAAATCGGTCCGAGTATGTAGTTGTCCCAGGTCAACCTCCATCTAAAACCCTCCCCCTCTCCTGTGGTGTCCCTCAAGGTCCCTCTCTATCTCCTACTCTGTTTGCTATTTATATTAATGACCCTCCTCTCCTGATCCATCACTCCCAATACAATATCTATGCAGATGATTTCCAAATATATATGTCCTTCCCGCCCACCGACCTATTATCAGCCACAGAAAAACTTCAAGAAGACTTGGATAGGTAGGATATGTGACTGGGCGAGAGCTAACAAGTTGAAGTTGAATGCAGAAGAGACGAAGGCAATCTTAATAGGCTCCAATCACCTCCTTAAAACTGTTCCTAATATTCCAACTCTGTTCCTACATGATAATCCCATCAAATTTTATCCCTCCAACAAAAACCTTGAAATGATCTTTGATCAAACGTTTTCCTTGAAAAATAATGTATCAAACATCTCCCGCCGTACCATTTCCACTTTAAAACGTCTAAATTACTCCCGTCACCTATTTCCCCTTGAAACCCGTAGACTCCTAGTAACTTCCTTAAATTTTTCCCCACCTTGACTATTGCTGTACGGTATATGGGGGCGTCTCTGTGGATCTTGAGGCAAAATTAAAACGTTTGATAAATTGCTTTGTACGATCCCAAGGGACGCCTCTGTTTCCTGTTTTTATTCAGCGTTGAAGTGGCTTTAGCCTTCCTACCATCATAAGTATTTCCCGGCATCCTTCCTCTTTCAAATCATCCAATTCCACCATCCTTCATACATCTCTGAGCTCCTTCAATTAAAATCCTCCGTTCGTTCCCGCAATACTCATTCCCGGTCTTCTGATTTATACATAAGGATCCACCGAACCGCTGCTTTCTACAGATCGTTCATTATGCGATCCTCATCCCTATGGAACTCCATCCCTCCCCACATCCGTCAATCCAAAACCTTTCCTACCTTTAAATCCCGCCTATTCAATCATTTCTTATTCATTCAATCCCCATAAATAAATAGTTACTACTGTAAATATGTATATAAATTATTAGATCGTTCTTAATTATTTTTATTGCATGTTTATTTTAAATTTTTTTTTTTTATTAATAACTGATCTGAATTAGTAAGTAACTTATAATTTTTTCTATTATTTTTTTATTTTGAGTATTTAAGTACTCAATATTTTTGTTTATATATATCTCTAAGGCTCCTTATCCCTCATTATTGTCTTTCTATATTATTCTAAAGGGACTCGTCCCAGAATAAATAAAGCATTATTATTATTATCTTTTTTATTCCCGCTTTTGCGGATTTAAAGCGCATAATAAAAATAATTGATTTAAAACTAGAATTTTATTTTTTTGGGGAGAGGGTGGGGCACTCATGACATAATTGTCCAGGAGCACCAAATGTTTAATATTGTGATTGCTTAAAAATATAATGAAATTCTATTTTTTTTTATGTCAATGATGATTCATGAAAAAAACAAAAATGAAACAATATTACATATTATAAGAAACAAGAATGTTTCTTAAAAAGCTAATATATTTCTATGATTTTAATGAAAAATGATAAATAAGTTTGAAGTAACCTCCTTATTGTACTTCTACTTTGGGTAGATAGGGTGTAAAATAGCTTTCTCCTCAGAAATATTTGGTTCTATGATTGTTTGAAAATAATAGCTGCAGATAGTACAATCAGTAAATAATATAATAACCATGTCATACACTTTTTTTTCTAAAGAGGAAAAAATAATTAATGCAAAACTGTTTTTGCTGTTTATGATGAGTTTAATAGTGCTTCAGAAAAGAGTTAACTATTCTGTTTTCTAGTACTTTGATAGTAAAAATATGAAAGGTAAGTGAATGTTGCTACCATATTAAGAATCCCATTTTTATTTACAAGAAAAAACAAAGATTTCTGATAGCATATAAATATTTAATCTAAAATCTTCAACAAATACAAATTTTGAATGGATCGCATTAATTTTATTCGATGATTGAGTTGCCGTAAATTTCCAAAGCATGTTTGCTATCTTTCGATAACAAAAAAGTTATCAGTAAGTTAGTAGTTCTTTAAGGAAACAAAAAAGTATTGAGCACTGTTCTATTTTTAATTACTATAGGGAAGGTTAGCTTATTCTGCCAGTATGTATTGCTCTTATTCATTAGTTTTGATTATCTTATTTTGTTGTTTTGTCATATGTAAATTCAGTTTCAATTTTAGTTACAATGGAAAGTGAGATAAGAATAATTATATTGTTTAAATCAATCCTTCCTTTTGAAAAAAAAAAAAAAAAATTGATCTAGACATATATTATTATAGTTAGGCTCAAAATCGGTTTTGTACCAAATATAAGCTCCTGTTATGCTCAAATGCCATGAATAGGGTGCTGTTGGAGATTAGAATTTCACGGGGGTTTAGTGAATCGTACTTTCATTCACTTTCCGTACTTTCCGCTTTTGTTTTTCTTTCTAAAATAAATTTAGTCGATTTAAATATTTTGCTAAGACTTCAATATTACAACAGTGGTAAGTCTGTAGATCAATACGGGACAAATTGGCCTTTGAAGATTTTGATGCGTACACCAAGACCAGCGTTTTTAAGCCCAAAAATGTACTATTTTCGAGATAATACAAGGCAAAGGGTTTACATCCATACAACTTTACGTTAATTGTAGTACTGTCATGGAATACATATCTCATTTTGTCAACTTAAGGTCCTTGTGATCGAGATAGGAGGATTTTATATTGTTTATCAAAGGTATATTTTTGTCGATAAGCCATATCATTGTCAATTCTTCATCAAATCCACAAGATTGACTCACCAATTTTGAAGGTTTCCTTCTCCTTCAGACAGGAAAAATAGTCCATTCACCATGAAAATTCAGGCACAAAAGTTATGAAAGAAAAGAAACTTTATTTGTGAATAACTAAAAAATTAAACACTTTTCTGTTGGTTATGTCAATGACAATATAAAAGATTATTAAATTACTAAATTCTAATTTTTGTTTGCTCTGTCGATTATATTTAGCGAGAAAGTAACAATTGATTTCTTTTATGATACATTGCATTATTTTATTTTCATATTATTTTATTATTTAATCACTGAGCAATTTACTACAGACTACTACTAGTTTCATATAAAAAGTTATATTATAAAATGAAAGAACTTTACACCTTAAGTGTAACATTTCGGAGTTTAGAAAATTCAGTAATTTTGATTGAAAATAAAGGGTAAAAAAAAATACGATTAATTTTTCATTACATGGGTGAAAATAAATTGTGAGTAATGATATTCTCAAAAAGTAGTTAAAATACATCTGCATATCACTTTGCCATTATATCCCAAATGCATCTTTTAAGTAAGAATAGTTTTTTTTCACATCTAATTGGTTTCCTCCCACCATTGATTCATAAAAACTAGTTTAGTTGAAGAACAGTGATATGATACATGATCTTTAGTATTTTCAAAAAGTTCAATTATTATTTTCAATGTTTCATGTATTTTCCAATTTGTTATCGGTATTGACTAGAAAAAAATACTATTACAATATTTTTAAAAGGAAAAAAATATAATAAACTTAGAGCTAGTTATATACAATAAAAAAATATATTACAATAATAAAAAAGAAGTACATTTACTATTTCCAAATAAATGATTCTGTTTTCTAAATGATGTCAGAATCAATATTTTAATGCACATGATAATTTTATTCTTATTTTTCCAGTTACTTATTTAAAAAGAAATGGCTTTACACATTCTAAAACTTTTAATTTGAATTATATTTATGTACACATTATTTCTGCAGTCAATAATAATTTACTATTCTAATAATAATAACCTAATCCTTAAGAATAATGTCTTTATAGCTCTTAACTCTGTGAAGTCATAATATTTATTTCTATATAGAACAAAATGGAGAAAATCAATGACATTTTAAATTTGTTAGCTGTCACAGATACATATATTTATAAAAATAAATGTTCAATAAGAATCTTTTTTAATTTTCATTGCTGCCCTTTTTGGTGATGAGATATTAAGTAATTGTTAAAAATACTATTTGTATCAAAGTCAATTATCACAATTTTTATTGTACTTCAATTGAACACTTTATATTGAATTAGAACTAAGTCTTCTTGATAAAACTTCATACGACCGAGTCTGTGTAACAACATTGACCTTCCTAGCTATTCCCGGCATCAGAAGAGCTTCTTCATAGCTCGGCAGCTGGTCATTTATCACAATTTGTGGTAACACAGTCTCAATGACATGATTGTTTTCTTCTTCTTCTGCAGGTAGATTGGGAGTATCAAGCATTCTCCTGATCCAATAAAAACAAAAAATTGCTAGAAATAGAACTGTTGTAGAAATAATAAATGGAATATAGGGATGTTTTAGCATCCAGCGAGGTATTCTGCTACGGTAGCATGCATCTGCCCATGTTTTGCCTGAAACATTTTTTGGATGTGCACACAATAGATTGTTTGCGTCCTCAGCCAGTCTATACAGATTGTCCATCCTGCAGTCACAAGTCCATGGATTGTCATTAAGATACATCTTTCCTTGGGCAATGACATCCTCTGCTAAAACTAGGCGATTGCCTGAAAGACGAATCTCTACAATACCATTTATCTGATTCTTAAAGCTACTCAGTCTGTTATAACTGACATCAAGTACTGTTGCACTCATTCCACCAGGAAAATGTTCCAATTCATTATGAGACATATTAAGAGTGTGAATTTTAACTCCATTAGTCTCGATGGCTTTTAACTTGCAGTGAGAAGCTTCAAGAAGATGCATAGAAACTAATTTCAAATTCTGGATTTGGTTACCAGTTATATTAAGCCAATCCATGGGTCTTAATTTCAATGTAGAGAGAATATTATAGCTTAAGTCAGCAATTTTAAGACTACGTAAGTCTATATAAGTGATTAAGTTATAACTAGCATGTAATTCAACCAATGAATTCAGAAAATTTATATGATTTATTATATTGTGATCAATTACTGCTGTTCTTAAAAATGGCATACCTAAAAAATAAAAAATGGTATGGTCAAAAATTAATTTTATTTTACTATATGTTCTCAATGAAGAGTATAAAAAAGATAAATCAATGTTTTGTTAATAACTGTTTTAATAATGAGTAGACTAGGCATTCATATTTGTACTAAATTGTTTTCTCAAATAAAAATTACTTTTCATTTCTACATTTTAATGTTCATCAAATTAGTGTTGCTTTTTTTTTTTTTTTTTTTTTTTTTTTTTTTTTTTTTTTTTTTTTTTTTTTTTTTTTTTTATTTCCTTCACCATAAATAAAATAGAAAACCACCATTCTAATAGTGGTACAAGTTTTTTTCTGTCACTTCTCACAGCCTAGGTGTAGAGAACTAGAGACTAGGTGTAGGTGTAGACTTGTTTGAAATAATAACTGAATGAACATTTTAACTAAACATATTTTAAAGCCATATAAATAAATAGAAATAAGAAAAAATGTAAATGGTGTTTTTATATAGGAGAGGTTTAGAACGTCAGTATTCATAGGAATGAACACCATAAATTATATAAGCTAAGAATTCTTGGAATCAAGAATTATGGTAACTGAATCTATCAGTATCAATAAGAAAAAAATCATATTTGACATAAAAATAGTTAAACTTAAAAATCATTACAGCTTTTTATACCAAAATAAGTGGCAGAGACATGGTTAAGTCCTTCAAGATTTAGTGTTAATGCTTATACCTGTTGTAGAGATTTTGAGTTATAGCTGTATTTTCATAATTCGAGATTTATATTTAATTTAAATACTTTTTTCGATAGGGCCAAGTAATAATAATTTATGTTACTTTAAATAAGTTACAGGGAAACATTTCTCAATAGACACCCCTCCATAAGGATATTTTTCAGTTTCTCCTCCAGGAAGTATAAGAATTTAGACCTCTTTGCAATGAAAACTTGTATTGAAAATTGAGAAAACCATATTTAGTGTTTTTATTTTTTTATGTTAATACATTGTACATTTAAACACCTAATTTAAGAATAAACACATATCTTGAAGCTATATTTTTTTTTTATTGATAAAATGGTTGTAGTAATTATTATTTACATTATAAAAAAAAAAAATATATGAGAGGAAGGTGCACTTTACTAAACTAAACAATGAGAAATTTAATTTTATTCTTGTTTAAAGTTTTATTGAATATTCCCATTAAATGGAAGAATGTCAATAGCACAGGTGGAGAACTTATGGTATCCAATTGAGTATGCTCAGCCTTCATGAATTTTCATGTGGCACTCATAAATGCTATCTCTGGTATTATTATTTAATTATATAGATTATGATTACATAAATAAATTTATCACTACTTCCTGACCTAACTGCTGCTTCTACTGGAATAAAGGTATTTAAGATCAATGGCAATACCCAAAAATCCAAATAAAAGTCCAGATGGAAAAGGACCACTAGGTAGATTTCAGTTGTATTATATTTGAATAGACTTGCTGGACAAAGTAGAATGCCAGTTAACTATGTTAGAATTGGACCATCTATCTCATAGCTGTGTTAAATCTAAATGCTGAATATTATCATAGATAGAGCAGTTTAAAGAACATTTTTTTTTTTATTGTTTTGATTGTCAGCACTGAATGCTAACAACTTTCTGTATAAAGTATTTCAAAGTTCATAATTATAGGGATTACTGATCTTTTAATAATGGATTGATAGTTGGCTAGTGAAAATTGAAGAGAAGTTGTTGGGGTGTTCATTCATTTATTTATTTTTGACTGAGTACGCCAACCAATTTCTCTTCAAGATTACTGATCTTGGTTATTTTATTATTATTATGTGTTACAACCCCCAGCACATCCTGGTATCTTCAACAAACTTCTGTCACTCATCTTTGGTATAGGCTGGTAAATTCTGATGTATATATATATATTTATTAGAAATATCTGATACGCTAAAGCAAAGTATTGACTATTATCTCATCCGTCCAGAATAGGCAATCCATAAACCAATAGTATATTTTATGCCAATACACCAATAATCACTCAAACACAATGTTTCAAGAACAATGGGTGCTCGATTTAGTTAAACTACTATGTATAATTAATACTGTTTACAGTTTATTTGTCTTTCCCATAAGGCAGACACCAATGGACTAAATATTAATTTGGGAAAAAATATGTATCCCTGATGATGTTAGATATTTAAATATGTATAATTGAATTACTCACCCGAAAAGTCAACAGATTCCAAAGAACAGTTTTGAGCAATTAAAATCTCTGTATTTGTATTGAAATCAAGTATTCGCATATGTTTATTACCACTTAAATCAAGGAATTTTAAATTAGTCAAACCAGCAAGAACTGTTGTTTTCAAAACTCTAAGCTGTGTTCTTTGGATCCGTAGTTCTTGAAGTGAAAAAGAACTGTAACAATCAAATTACAATTTAATGGATTTATTAAATAATTATGTGTTATTGAATAACATAAAATTTTAATGATTTTAACTAACTTTAATAATTAGTAATTTATTTTCTGATGAAACATAAATGTTGAAAACATTTATGAGTACTGATATCAAAATTAATTTATTTATCAATTTAATCATTATAATGATTCAATCGTAAATAGCTAGAGTGATTATTAGGCACTTTTGTTGAGTAATAGGCTACATGCGTAATCTGGAAGTGAATGCTTATCCAATAAGATTGAGATGATCTACTGTTGATTCTAAAGTATGTTTTAAATATAAATGAAATGAGTCTTAAATAGCTGGCTGACACAGGTGGCAAAAAAGCCTTTATCATACTTCTAGAAGCTAAACTAAACACTGTGATGTATGGCTTTAATTCAGCTGTGTTGAATCATTGCAAAGAAGCATGGCACTGCTTTTGGTCCAAGGTTCCAAAGCAATAAAATGAAGATAAAGGACCACTGCCTCAGATAATAGGGAACCATCTGGAGCAAACTATAATTTCAAGACTGAGAATAGAACACACTAGGCTCACCCATCGGCACATCCTTGAAGGGAATTCTGCAAGATACAATGGAAAATTATCCGCGCTTGTGTTTTTCAAGAATTTTACTAAGACTCCGGAGCTACCATCAAGCTTTGGGCCAGAAAAATCAATAGAACTTACTGCAATTTTGGAAGAATAAAAAACTATTAACTGATTTCAATTATGTAATAGGAATACGGTGCCTCTAACCTTTGTTGATGTACATAACACCTTAAATTATAATTAAATAATAATAATAAACATAAATGATGCACTAATAACATCAAATTTGATCTAAAGATTTAAGAACCAGAATGGATCGGGTTATTCTGTCTTGCATCATAGTTAAGCAAACTATAATACAAATTTGAGCTATCCCACCTAGTTATCCTACTTAAAAGCACTAGTTTTATATTAATACTGGGACTATTTTCATAAATTATGAAAATGGAATGATTAATCTCACATCTTTAAGTAGAAATTTATCGTTTAATATGAGATACCACCACTAATTTAAAAATTACTAAAGACATTCTAAATTTTTATGATTTTTTAAATAAGAACCAATTAGTTTCAGCATGTTATCTAAAGTCAATGAATCATTAAACCAAAACTTATTAATTGTATTCAAAACAATTATACTTACACTAAGTCACTTATTTTCCTTAGAGGATTGTCACCTATATTTAAGACCTGTAGAGATGGTAATTTTTCAAGAAATGTCTCTGGTAAAACCTCAATGTCACAGTGTGATAGATCTAGCACAGCCAGTCCAACACAAGCAATATTTATTGTTTTAATCGGATTTTCTGACAAATCAAGGCTTCGCAGGCTGATAGGGCAGTTTTCAGATGAAACATCTCTGCACAATGAACAAATAATAAATTAATTAATTGGTGATGGTTGTTAATCATTTGAATATATTGAACTACTTGTCATTTATATGTAGTACCGCACAAAATTGACATCTGACCAGGACTCTTGTCCGTTGTCTATTTATATTTTTAATTTATTTACAAGTAATATTGGTTCTGAGTTTGAAATTAAAAATATGTAGAAAACAATTTTGTTAATGTTTTTTAAGTCAATATAATTCAAACATCTTCATTTAATATATACAACTTTTCTGGAATAAGTGCTAAAAATGTGCTACAATATGAGTACTAAAGAGTATTGTTTATTTTATTTATTTTTTCATGGTTATGCCTCTGTCCTGAAGGGTTATTATATTATTATTTATAATAACGCACTGATTAAAAATATGCTAAATAAAACTCAGTTTTCAGCGTTAGCAAATTAAACAATTTTATTTCTAAACCTAAAGATGCTGAGCCTTTCAAGTTCCTTTCCGGAGTTCATAAAATAAAATGTCATCTAGGAAATGTAATGGAGCATATGTGGAAAGAACCTACAGAAAACTTAAGGCTGTATTTTCTGAATACCTTGAATGGCTTATTCTCACATGTATGGAAATTAAATCTCCTAATATAGCATGGGACCACAGAACTTCTGCTTGGCTGGAAAATCAAATTAAATGCCTCTAAATCAAAATATAAACAAGAATTTGTATTTACAGAATTTCTTTGTGAACTTAGCCATGAGGATCATCCTAATGCCCTAAGTAATAGGCCTTACTAATCAGTTCCATTCACCAGCGGATCCTGGATTTAATTTTGGGAGGAGGGTTTCAACCCGAAAGTTTTTTTTTCATATATATATATATATATAAAACGATAATTACTTTGAAAAAAAAAGAAAGATACTAACTACATACATGAAATGGTATTTAAGGGATTCATGAAATAATACTTTAAGAGATAATTTTTTAATATTTTTGGTCCATAAAACATGGTTAAATTTTACTACTTGGGGGAGGGGAGGGCTTCAGCCTGAAAGCCTCCCTCTAGATCTGCCTGTGGTTCCATCATTAAGCTTCAGGTTTTTAGGTTAATATTTTTTAAAAAATTATTTTATTTTTTTGTTATGTATATATTAGGTATACCTACAGATTGATAAAATTATTTTTAAACTACTATTTATAATTTATTACATTGAATTAAGGTATATTCTATTTGTATATTATTAATGAATAACACTTATTCAATGCAGTGAATAACTCCTTTATTTGTTATTGATATTTATCCGTTAAACAAAAATTTACTTTTTGAATATATTATGACATAATTAAATAGTTTAAAAAAACATAAATGATTATAAAATTACCTCATCTGGTTGTATCTCAATGACAGAGACTGAACTCCATCTATAATATCAGGAAATAGTTGAACAATATTGTTGGAGGCATTAATAAATTTTGCTTCTAATGGAGGAAATATTGTAAATTTGTTTCTAGAGATATCCACATGGTCAAACTAAAATAAATAACTTTTTATGTAGTTACAGTTATCAATTTTTTTTTTTTAGCTAAAGGAAAGTAGTCATGGAACTTACTGATTGTATTAAGTGTAAGTCATATTCACCCAAGCTTGTTAATGACCGACCAGCACAGTTCACTTTGTTCCTATAACATGAACATTTCGCTGGGCAGTGTTCAGTTAAAACTCCATGTAAAAGAACGATCAAGATTAGGCCATGGATATGCATCTCCTCAACCCTGTAATGTATAATCAATTATATCTTAGGTAACATATAACTAATGAATTGCCAGAACAATTTTTCTAAAGCCCTCATTTTAAAGTATTCTATTTGAGATCATAAAATCTATTTTAATTATAAAATTTTGATCTTTACATAAATTTAAACTTAAATCAGGAATTTCAATAATTGTTATAAATTTTAAAAAATGTGAAATAAATATTATTGCAATTAAATTTCAGGAAAACTTCCAATAGGAGATTTCAAAATAGTTGATGAAAACAATTAGGTACCAACATAAAATAAAATTACTATAATTTATTAATTAGAAATAAATTTTATTAGAATAGTTTGCCAAATTTCTTTTTGTTTTTAATAAATATTTATCAATATGTTGTATGAATAACATTACACTTAAAGAGTTCAAGAGAGTTAAATGTTTCTTTAAAGAAGTTATAGTTAATAATAAAATTAGGTTTATCCTATTTTCAGAAATTTTTCCATATAACAATTACAATTCAGTTGAATAAATTCGTGCCACCATGACTCATCTCACTAGAGAATTCTGTGTAAAAATTTGTAATTAATTAAAATTCAGTCAACATGATTTTTTTTTCTCAATAACCTTTTAATGCTTAAATTAAATAATGACCAATATTGATTGCATTAGTGCATCATGCTATTTAATAATGATTGAATATTAGTCATTAGTATCATGAAACAATTATCAGAACTATATTTTTGCATATATAAACGGAATAATTTTTTTATTTTATGAATTTCTTGGACATTTTCAGGAAAATTAAAACTAAAAATAATTATTCTGTAAATCAAGTAAAAAAAAAGTTTATATTTTGTGGAAATTCATAAGTGTAATTTTTTAAATAGTAGACAAATAAATTAATATAAATAATTATTGAAGTATTACCTTTTTTCTCTATAATTTCAAGCAAACTTGCAAAAATTAACATTTTAAACAATTTTTTAATAAGGTTTGAAAGGCGTGTTCAACCTAGCTAGTTTAAACGAAGTATGATAAGGTTTAAGATAAGGCTTGATAAAATTAAGGTAAACTATTTTCAACCGTATCTAATAAAATACAGAGAAACTGTAATATTAAGTTCATATCGATCAAACGATACTTTCATTTAATGAACTCTTTTAAATAAAATTATCTATACGTATTTTATTATTATTTTCATAGTTAAAACTGAGAGGGGGGAATTTCACAGTATTAACATATCCTTCATTTAATATATACTATTTTGATATATTATTCTATAGTGAATAAAACAAAAAAAATTTTTATTGTTTTTTTAAATCCTTATTGTTACTTTTTGATTTAAAAAATATCATTGAATAGACCAGCATTTAAAATCGTTTGTACTAGGATGTTGGCTGTACTGGAAATGGGAAGGTTACGAGAAAGTTTGTAGCACATTCAAGTTGACTACAGTCAACTCCGTGGCATATTGCAGAATTTTGTACTTCAATCATATATCAATATGGAGAATGGAGATCTTGCTGTACCTCAAAAAACTCCAAAGCAGTTGGAAAAAGAAGCTAAAAAATTAGCTAAACTCGAAAAGTTTAAACAGAAAAAAGAGAAACAAACTCAATCTTCTGATCAACAAAAAGAAAAATCTGATGTAAGTTTAATTTTTAACTCTCTTTACACCAACTTATGATTTCGTTTCTCTTTATTTTTTAATCTTCAATAGAAAACTGAAAAAAAGAAAGCACCTTCAGCTAAACCAACCATAGAATACACATGTAAAACCGAACCTGGACAAAAAAAAGATGTGTCATCCCAAATGCCTGATTCCTACAGCCCCAAGTATGTGGAAGCAGCTTGGTATTCGTGGTGGGAGAAAGAAGGATTTTTCAAACCTGAATATGGAGTATGTTCATTGATTTGATTTAATCTTTCTTTATTAATTTTTATCAAGTTCTTAAATAGATGATTTATGTCTTAGGGACATAGTATAAAAGATCATAATCCTAAAGGCAAATTTGTTATGGTGATTCCTCCTCCAAATGTCACTGGTTCATTGCATCTTGGTCATGCTCTAACTAATGCAGTTGAAGATGCACTCACAAGATGGTAAAATTGCATCTTTTTCACTCCTTCCATTTTTATCATGAAATTACAAGTTAGTTTATAGGTTTGATATTTAAGGAATAGAATGAAAGGCCGCACAACCTTGTGGGTACCTGGCTGTGATCATGCAGGAATAGCAACTCAAGTGGTGGTCGAGAAGAAATTATGGCGTGAAGAGAAAAAAACACGTCATGATCTTGGACGAGAGGAATTCATTAAAAGAATATGGACATGGAAAAATGAGTTAGTTTTAGATTTATTATATTAATAGTTAACTGGCTATATGTTATCATATACTGCCTGTTTGAATTTTTTTGTTTTGATTTAACTTCGTTCTTTTTTAAGGAAAGGAGACAGAATATATAATCAGATAAAATGTCTTGGTTCGTCTCCAGATTGGTCTAGAACTGCATTTACAATGGATCCCAAGTTATGCAAAGCAGTAATTGAAGCATTTGTAAGGCTCCATGAGGAAGGAACAATTTATAGAAGTAAGCGACTTGTAAACTGGTCATGTACACTCAAAAGTGCTATTTCAGATATAGAGGTATTGAATGATATTTTATTATTATTGTCTTATTTTAATTTTTAATGATTTTTTTCCTAAATATTTTGAAATTTTTGTTATTATGTCAGTATATTTTGTTTTGTTGCTTTTAATGGCCTTTTTTTTTTTTTTTCTATACCTCAATAATTCTTTTGCTCTTTCAAATTTTATGTTTACTATCCATGCAGTATTCATATATAGTAATATTATTATAATAGAGGTACTCATCATGGCTACAAAAGATACAAAATATAAAAAGTACATGGTGAAAATAAAATAAATGAATAATAAGTAGATATTAAATAAGAAAAAGTTGTCTGATAATATTTGATAGTTGATAATATATAATAGTTGTCTGATAATATATTGTCTCATAATATTTTTTTTATTTTGTAGGTTGATAAAGTAGAACTCACAGGAAGAACTCTTCTTTCTATTCCTGGTTACAAAGATAAAGTTGAATTTGGAGTTTTAGTTTCGTTTGCTTATAAAGTTTGTGATAGTGATGATGAACTAGTAGTTGCAACAACGAGAATAGAAACGATGCTTGGTGACACTGCAGTAGCTATCCACCCATTAGATAAGCGTTATTCTCATCTTCATGGAAAGTACGTTCAGCATCCATTTGCAGATAGAACTCTTCCTATTGTACTTGATGAATTTGTTGACATGGAATTTGGAACTGGTAATGAAGAAATTATTTTAAATCTGTATTATTTTTAAAACTAAGTTTAAATCTTTTCTGATAGCACTGATCCAGTGTTGTAGCTGATGTTCATAGTAGCGGAGACCAAATAATCACATTTGAATTGGAGACCATACCTTTAATTTTCAAATTATTGTGATGAAAGAATCACAATGAACAGAGCTTGTAGTTAATGAATGGAAGTTTTATTGAAATATAGCAGGAAAATTAATTACTATAAAGGATGTCCATTAAATGCTGGAATTCCTTGGTGACACTTTAGTGTAGATGGTCATTAATGTTCCTTATCATATCGTCTAATATTTCAACTGGCATTGCTGCGATTTCATCTTATATAGTTTTTTTTTAATGTGGAATAGTTTGTCATGTACGCTTTTGACAGGTACCTCCAAATGAAGAAATTGCAGGAGGAGAGCTAGGGCGAACAGTGTGGCCACAGAACACCATTTATGGAAATGAGAAATTCAGAAATGCCACATACAAGATTCATTGAAACTCTTGCTATGAGCTGTGGCTCTGTTCTGTTAAAACCAGGTGTTTTGAGTTTCCCATTAATTTTTTTGCAAATAGGAAACGAAAAATTAATGAGGCATAACCACATAGGGCTGAATTAACAGTCACCGCCTGTCCTTTCTCATCCTCCAAATAATAAAGTGCCATTATCTTAACTTTTGACAAAGTACTCCACACTAACTTTTTGGCTTTGAGGAGGCTGCGTGTGCAATTTTTTCTTGGGTTGTCAATTGCCCAGTATCAGTAATTTTGCTTGTTCATATAGTCTTCATGGTAAAAATGTACTTCATCTGTTGTGATCAATGCAAATTTGTTCTGAAAAATATCTATCATGCCCATATTGATTTGCAGACATTGAAAGGAACTTTCGGACAACAATTCTTTTATAAGGGTGAATATTTAAATGTTTTTTCATAATGGATTGAAGGCTTTGGCACTAAATTCCAAATGCTTGGATGTAGTGTCTCATTGTACGTCTTGGGTTTTCCCCAACTCTCAGACACGATCCACATCCTCAGGTGTCATCCTAGTTAAAAACGTGTAGAGGGACCTTTGAGACATCATTACTGTGTTGAGGAAAATATTCAACCCATTTAAAAATTTAGATATTCTTTGAGATAGTTGCAAGGTTTAGCAATATAATTGTTTTGCTCCTTCATCATTAAACTCATTACAAAAAAAGCCTCCCAAGCAAACAAACAATGTTGAATACTTCTATGAGCCATGGTAATTAAACTCCCCAGCTTACGCTACAGAAGGAATAGGAGGAAGTCCTTTCCCCACCTGCCCACTACAAACCGTACCTTTTATAAATGTGGTCATTTGGTCTCTGCCACTCTATATTAGTGTTCAATATTTTATGAATTGAAAAGATTTCATAAAATACCCTAACTTGTTGAAAGTTTCTTACTAGGTATTTTCATCTTAATTAAAATTTCTAATACATGCTTATTATTTTTATCTTAATTATTTTATCTTGCTTATTATTTTTATCTAATGATGCGACTAATTGCTGATGAAATGTTGAAATTAAGTAGCTTTATTGATAATAGAAAAGATCCACTGGTTTGTTCCTTTTTGGTGAAACATATTAAATGAGACAATGTTTTCAGGTGCGGTGAAGATAACTCCTGCTCATGACCATAATGATTATGAAGTGGGAATCAGGCATAATCTACCATTCATTACGATACTTGATGATGATGGTGTAATTATTGGTGATTGTGGTGAATTTACTGGCTTAAAGAGATTTGATGCAAGAAAAGCCGTGCTGGAAACTTTAAAGAAAAAGGGATTGTATAGAGATACAAGTGATAATCCTATGGTTGTGCCTATTTGTAGTAGATCGAAGGATGTGGTGGAGCCATTGATCAAACCTCAATGGTAAATCATTTTATTTTTACTTTAAACTAATAGTTTTAAAATTTTACAATTTGTTTTTCCTTATTCCAGAAACACAGTGACTTATTGAGCAATTTCCCATGCCGAATATAATTTAGCCTTTTTACCACTCATGCTTATATCTCTCAAAAGCACTCAAAGCTGTCATCATGCTTAAGAAAATATCTGATGTCCTCAAGCACTGGACATACCTCAAGGTATTATCTGATTCAGTGCTTCTGGAGGTAGTCATATCCCGTTGTGACTTGTCCTCGAGGAAGGATAGGAGGGATACATTTTTTTCTACCAATGTTCCTTACCTCTTCCCTTCAATCTCTCCAGAATAGTCCAGTTTTAGGTGGTCAGCCATTGCCCATTTGGTTACTTTTTTAGTTGATTCAAAGCTAAGCGCTTGATGTGGCTGAGGAATAAAAGTGGGCTGAGTACAGAACCTTGTGGGAGTCCTTGCTTTTTTATGTGTCTATAGGTTGATGACAAGTTCCTGTATCTCACTTGTCAATGTTGTTTTTTTTTTTTTTAACACTGGAATGGTCTTGTAAAGATTCCCCTTCACTCCCTTTTCAAGGAGTTTGCATAGAAGTTTTTGTCTCCTTACCCAATCGAAAGCAGTTTAAGTTGGCTGTCGTGCTTTGCTTATGCTGGATTATTCTTGATCTCCTAGGAGAGTCATATTGCTTGATAAACAGTGGTTTGATGTTTCTTGAAACTTGATTGGTTGGTGTACATCAATTTATTTGTTTCCAGGAATCTTTGTTTTGTAGCATCTTATTATTATTCCTTCATAAACTTTTGAAAACGTACTAGTGAGTTAAATCAGCCCGAAATTTGTTGGAGAATCAGCCTGCTTTTCCTTCTTTAGTATTGGGATAACGACTTCTGCCACTTTACCAGTGCATAATTTTTCCAGTCCAAGTTAAAATATTTTGGTAACGTGTTCGTGGTGGCTAGTCCAAGGTGGTTTAGAAGTTCAAGTTGAAAATCTTTGACAGCTATTACTTTTTTCTAATCTTTAATAGCTGTTTGAGTGTTGGGCAATTATCTTATATTAGATTCATCTTGCAATTTACTTATTCTTCATCTGTTTTTGTATTAAAATTTTTAATTACTAAAACAAAACACTGTCACTGTACTAAGCATATTTGTTGTTATTATGTTATGATTCTCTTATAGTATTGTATAGCAGACAAGGGTTGGAATTTAATTCATCAAATAAATCCATTCTTATCAAGATATGTTTTAGAAGCAGGAATGAATATTATCTAATTGTGCAGGTTCCATGACAAATAATATTTTAAGGGTGGTGTGTAAAAAATCCTCACTCTCCGAATAAGGTGGAAGGGGATCGATCTGCCTTATCAATGTACCCAGATGTACTACCACATATAGGGTGCAACCTATATGAAGGATCAGTGAAACGGGGTTACTGGGGTATGCAGCTTGGAAAGTTGGTAGTAACTGCTCACTCATGTACCAGCCTGAGTGATATAGACAAACATTCATCTACCGCAAACCGCGCAAAATACTATTTATTTTACCAGCACATTAATGTGCAGCTACTACCTGTTTCAAATTCTGTATGCCCTGCTAAACACTATTTACCATACCTCAGGCCTCAATCATTGTATAAGTACTGTGATTGACCTTTGTATACATAAAATACCTGTAATGTACTGTTCAAATCTAAGGAATTGATCCACCAACTTAGAGTTGATCTAAAATCTTCAATAGCTTGTCTGTTTTTAAGACATCATAGCTTGAATAGCATGTAGCAAAAATTAATATTGACATTTGTTTTCGATATTTGTATTGATATTGAACATCAAAAACGATACTTTTTCTAAAGTGAAGGAAAGAACACTGAAAATATGTCGTCTTTAACGACCAAAGAATGATAAAAAAACTTATACTCATGGTGTGGTATGTTCATGATGTTATTTATAGTGTCTGTGGTGAAATCAACATCCTCTGTTCCTTGTATTGTGATCTCGCAGTGTGGAAGAAATATGTCAATATTTTTGTTCAATAGTTTTTATTCAATATATCATAATATCGATGTTGAAAATTGATATATTTAAAAAAAAATATCCCAAAGATAGCTACTTAACTAAAATGAAATATTAGTCTAATTAATTTTTTTTTTTAATCAAAATAATACTTTTTTCTATAATAATTATAAATATTTTTTCTTTTTTTTTTGGTTTATTATGATAGTTGAATTGGTTTCAGTCATTGTTAATTCAATTTTGATATTAGCCATTTAATTTATTTTTATAGTTCTTTGTAATAAGCCATTTTAGTCATAAATGATGTCTAATTCTTTGATAGGTTTTTGTTATTAATTTAATATTGGTTCTCTTTCATCCTTATTAATTCTTTGTCTTGTTCCTACTAATAATTTTTTCAATGACAAAGGTTAGTAAATTGATACTTGTTTTACAATAAGCACTGTTCCTATGAATATTTAATTGTTGCTATTAAGAAATCTATACCTGAATGCTAACCCTCTTCCCCTTTTTTAAAAGATTAGAAACATTGAGGCGTGAAAACCATCAATAATTTTAATTTGTACATCCCCACTCTTTTATATTGGGCCTGATATTTATTGAATTACTATTTTGATGTATCGATATTTACATCCCTAACATGCTGATTAAACAAAAAAAATAACACAGAAAATCTATGAATGGAGGCTATGGTAGAAGATGTAAGATATCTGTTTAATGTCTTTACCAGAAGTGTAGATTTTGAGTCCATGGTACTGAATTTAAAATGAGATTTTCTTTTTTTCTTTTTGCCTTTTAAGGTTTTATACAAAAGCCAGATATTTCTGTTCACAATCTTGCTCTTTTATTATTACTATGAGATCGTTGTGAAATTATTGAGTTTAATTTCTTTTTTCCAAAAGAAACTGAAATTGAATTTTTGTTGATAGATGTAATACTTTACTTATTTTATTTGTTCCTGAAATCTCATTTCTGAAATTTTTCATGGAATCACTTTTATTTCTTATTTTATAGTATTCCTTTAATTTTTGTCATAGGTATGTAAAATGTGATACAATGGCAGAAGAGGCTTTGAAAGCAGTCGAGCAAGGAGAACTAAAGATTATACCTGAGCAGCACAAGAAGACCTGGCACTATTGGATGTCTAACATTAGAGATTGGTGTATATCTAGGCAATTGTGGTGGGGCCACAGAATACCTGCATATTATGCCACATTAAAAAATACAACAAAGCAGCCTGTAAGGATTACTTTATGTTATAAAAATTTATGGTTATTAATGTAAAAACTCTCTAAACTTAAGTGATATTTTGTCATTTAAATTACCAGTAGTTCTTTTTTTTTTTCATTTTCATTTTTTAACTTTAAATATTGATCTACAGTCAAACCCACATTTAGAACAATCAACAAATTGGATGAAATACCACAATGATTTCTGTCATTTACCTTTGAAGAACACTAACAAATATATCCTGAATTGGCTATTTTTTTTAGGATTAGGCTATATTAAATGGTTATTATCTGAATGGCTCAGAAAATAGAGGAGTTTGTCATTCAACTTTTAGAAGTTCCTTTTCCTACACCTTTGTGTATTTTATGCTAACAGTTTCATCTTCACCTATCTAAATATGTACATGTAAAATCTTCTTCATATCAGAGCTTTCAATCTCTACTCTGTAAAATTTTGTTAATATATGGTTCAATGCTATCATATATTTATCATATCATTTTTACTTTCCTACCTAAACTAGGTAAGGAAAGTATTGCAATCGGGTCAAATTTCCGACATCTGGTTTTCGACGGATTTATACGTTTCAGAGCTCCCTGAGTCCGAAAAACACATTTTTAGCCATTAGTCTGTCTTTCTGTCTGTCTGTGCCAAGATTTTCTCGGGAATTACTCCATGCACAATAGATTGCGCACAATAAATGAAAAACATGTTATTCTGTAGACTGTAGTGCAAAAACGGCTCTAACGATTTTGATGAAACTTTCCTATAATGTTCTAATCATTGTTTTTTCAATTTTCGCATATAGACTAAATTTCTGAAAAAATTCAGGAAAAAAAGTTATAATGAAAAGAAAAATGTTATGGGGCCTAACTCCCCATAACAAGTATATATTATACGGTAAAATTTATAGTAAAACTTTTGAAAGGTAATTAAATTACCAAAAAAAAAAATCATCGGAATCGAACCAGTATTAGCGATGATACTGCTTATTCTAATTTTTACACATTTTTTTAACTTATTACTTTCCTACCTATACTAGGTAAGGAAAGTATTGCAATCGGGTCAAATTTCCGACATCCGGTTTTTGACGGATCTATATGTTTCAGAGCTCCCTGAGTCCGAAAAACACATTTTTAGCCATTGGTCTTTCAGTCTGTCAGTCTGTCTGTTTGTGCCAAAAAAAACACGCCGTTTAGCCTGTCGTTTGAAAGGTAATGAAATTCTCTACAAAGCCATATAAACATAGTTCATTTTGGACAACTATTCAATTTCCAATGTGTGATTACGGGTTTATATCCTGCTGTCAGAAAGGGATGAATGAGAGAATAAAGATGACTAAGTGAAAGTAAGAAAATCTGTTGCCCGCATCACACAATCTTCACTATTTCCTCTACTTTTAACAGAAATTATTGTTTGACAATACTAAGCTATGGCAAAAAGTTTTTGATCAGCAATATTAGTGAGTATTGAAATTTTTACACTGATCTACCTTAGGCCGGTTTACATTGCTTTAGTTTATCAAATAAATCGCACTCAAATCTTTTCTTTGATCAATTTTCAGGAAAATAAATCTAGTTAAATTCTTTTTGGTTTTTCATGGACATATGTAAAGATATAAAAACTTTTCTGAAATAGGTAGGAAAGTCGTGTGAGTGGACACACCAGATATTTTTTGTTTAAAATGCAATTTTTTTTTTCAGGAAAATGATGATGATAGGTGGATTAGTGGCCGTAGTGAATCTGAGGCAAGAGCTAAAGCAGCAAAAAGATTCGATGTGAAGGAAGATCAGGTAGATCTCAAACAGGATGATGATGTTTTGGACACTTGGTTTTCTTCTGGTTTATTTCCGTTCTCTGTTTTTGGATGGCCTGATCAGGTATTGTTTTTAACATCGTTCAAACTTTTAAAAAAATACACATACATCATTTAATTTTTTTTGTTTTTTCTATTCAGTCTGATGACCTTGATGTATTTTACCCTACAACACTCTTGGAAACTGGTCATGATATTATATTTTTCTGGGTTGCAAGAATGGTTTTTTTTGGTCAGAAATTGCTTGGCAAGCTCCCTTTCAGGTAGTAAAATAAAACTTGATTATCTTTTATTTATTGGTTATTATAAAACATTTCTTTAACTTATCTTTTATTATGAAGTCCATGATAAATAATGGATTTTTATTAAAACTTGTAGTGAAATTTTATATTATTGACTCTTAAGATGAGTATACCGGTTGGTGAAAGTCAATAATTTGCATTTTATATTACATTGTTTAGTCACCACATTTCAATATTATGTGGAAATAAGTAAATTCAAGTATTTATTTTGAAAAGTAGTAAAAATATTTTAAAACTAATTATAAAATATTGTTATCGTTATGTACATTGTAAAAAATTTGATAAGAATATAATGGCTTTGTCATTGTTATTAATGTTTCTTTTCTTCTTTACTCGATGTGATCATCATTTTTTTTTTTATTGTTTTCCACAAACATAGTTGTGTGGTATTAATCAATATATTTGGCTATGATTGAATTTTATAATAAATATTGATTTTGAAATGTTTGTTGCGAAGGCAATGTTTCAAAATTATGACTTAATTTTTGGTTTTGATAAACTATTAAGGTGGATTTGACAAGGCGACAAAAAGTAATCTTGAGAATTAAAATATAGTTAGTGATAATTAAAAATAAATAATATTTATTAGTGACAATAAACATTGATTTGTTGTGTTTGCTTCTGTTTTAAATTGTTTATTAGGCTTAATGCACTTACGTACTCAAACCATGGATATGAAGGCCAGGTTATTCTTCATTTTAAATTTTTCTAGCCAGGTTGTTTAGTAAGACAGGTTGTTTAGTTGGTCCATTGCAAAATAAATATTATTCCATGTTGGCCGGAATTTTGTTGGCTCACGGATTTAAATATGGGGCTCACTCCTGACCTATGCTTACCATTATCTGTTCAACATAGCTAAATAATGTTACAGGGAAGTTTTCCTTCATCCGATAGTGAGAGATGCGCATGGTCGTAAAATGTCTAAATCACTTGGGAATGTAATCGATCCAATGGACGTTATTAATGGCATCAGCTTAGAAGATCTTCATGCCCAGCTTATAGGTTCCAATTTAGATCCTAAAGAGATTGAAAAGGCAAAAGCAGGACAGAAACAAGACTATCCCAGTGGAATACCTGAATGTGGAACAGATGCACTTCGGTTTGCATTGCTCTCTTATATGACTCATGGTATGAAATTATTTTGACATACTTTTAAATTTAATAATTATCCTTTAATGTGTTTTCTTTTTATCTTTAGTTTTTATCATTATCCTGAAGTATTAGGTTTCCAACATCGCGAATTCTAAACACTTTTAAATTAGCCCTCTAATGACTATTTTTTTTAATTTCGAACTGATCTACTTTCCCAATTGCTGTATGAATTCCTACACCTTCAATCAGATTTTCATATGCTATTATCAGCATTAGGTATTCTTAAATTGTTCCTTGTTACCAGCCATAGACCGCTCTGACATCAATGGTGTAATATTTTTAAATTTATTCTGAGGCAAATTAATACTGCTTTCTTTATATTTCTCTTCAAGAAAATAGTTAATTTTCTTCGAAACCAATGATCTTCCAATATAGTTAGTATGTTAGTTTTCTAAAAAAAAACTGAGTTTAGTGTGGGCAAAGGTGACCTTAGGTGTTGGCGGACTAATGCGTTGCCCGGAAACCTAATTAACTGTTGATAATGTGATTAATTGCAAGTTCTCCTTCCGGTGTCTGGAGACTTTTAACTCTGGCATTAATCCTCCACCTTCTCCTTTAGCCTGGAAAACCTCCCCTCCCCCTCACAAAAAAAAAAATATGCTCTGCTATAGGAGTGGTGAGAGGTAGGATTGGTTTCTTATAAAAACTAGATGAATACTTTTTATGCACTTTAAATGAATTTAATGAATCTGGCATTAGAATTATAGTTTTATGAATTGTAGACAATCTGAACTGAAGGGTTGACTGAAGCTATCACATATAATTCTGCAATGTACCTAGAGCATAATTTATAAATAATCTAATAATAAAAAAAAAATATATTTCCAGTTGTAAGAACGTTAAATTGAATGACAGTTGTGTTCTGATAAACAGAAAAATCCAAGAGAAATTTGATGGTTGGTTGCTTTGTTGTAGCTAGTTCTATAAATTGTTTAAATCACAAAAAAAATAAAATTAATATAATTTCCTCAAAAAAGAAAAATCCTGAACAGTTCAATAAAATGTATGTGTTTGAAGAACTATAAATTAAAACTCTCTTTAATCTTTATTTGTACAATGTTATTGTAGTTTTGTTTTCAGGAATATCTTTTTTGCTTATGTGAATGTCTTTTCAGGACGTGATATTAATTTGGATATACTGAGAGTTCAAGGATACCGTTTCTTTTGCAATAAATTATGGAATGCTATGAAGTTGTCTTTGAAATATTTGCAGACTGACAGTGAAAAGAACAAGAACGTTGTTAGCAATCCAAAGACACTGTTACAAGTAAACCCTGAATTAGATTTCTTATTTTCTAACAACCGCTTATTAGAGAACTGTAATGATCATTTCAGTGATTTCAGCTATGTTAATGGTTATGTGGTTTCGGGATTGGATTATGCTTTATTTGATGACCTTTCTAGCGAGAAGTGGGATGTGAATAAGTTACCTCATTTAGACAGATGGTTTAGGCATATTAAGAACTTATATCCCAATACATTGCTGAAGGTATGGGGCTCACTCTTGACCTATGCTTATGCATGCAACAGCACTAACTCAGTATTTTTTTATGGTGATTGATTTTCGTTTTTGATTAAATTAATATTATTGTATGTTAGCATGCTGCTTTTAATAATTAATATTACTAATCTTTTTTTATTTTATATTAAATATTGTGGTTTCTGTTAGTTATTTAAGTTAGTAAGTTAATGTCTAGAGTTGTGTGGAAATTTTCAAAAATAGCTTTAATTTATTATATCTTTAATAATTCTTAATACTTTCTGCTCTATTTTTTTTTTTATTTGTATATAAAGCATGTTATTTTCACCTATCAAATTGTTTTTTATATTTTTTTTGGCACTAAAAAATTGTCAATGATCTTTTCTACTAATCACTCTAACTTGCACAAGAATTTTCTGTTTTCTTACTAAGTTTAATATCAAAGTAACAGAATGTTGAATTTGGTCTCTTAGACCTCCATATTCTGCTCCAGTAGATTATTATTTGTGTCTTCGGTTTTATCAAAAGGGATACTAAGTAATATTGATGCTTATTAATGTTAATTTATAGAGTTTATTGACCTCATATACTCCAACTAAGGCAGGAAAGTTGGTCTAACTAATGTATGAACTGCTCTTAATTCAAACTTTATTCCATTCGTCCAACATAAAGTGAAAGCGAACTCAATATAAGCTCCTGTCATGCTCAAATACCATGAATAGGGTACCGTTGGATTCATAATTTCACGGGGTGTTAGCAAATCGTATTCTCCACTTTTATTTTTCTTCCTAAAATAAATAAAGTTGATACAAACATTTTGCTAGGCTTCAATATTGGAACGGTGGCAGGGCTGTAGATTGATACAAGACAAATTGGATCTTGAAGATTTTGGTGCATACAGCAAGACCCGGATAGTTCCTCCTGAACTATCAGATCCTGCGTTTTTAAGCCTAAAAACGTACTATTTTCGAGATAACGCAAGGCATAGGGTTCGCATCCACACAACCTTACATCAATTGTAGTAATGTCATTGAATAAATGTCTCTTGTCGTCGACTTGAGGTCTCTATGATCGAGAGAGGAGGAGTTCATATTATTTATCGATGGTGTTTTTGATCGGCAAGCCATATCATCGTTAATTTTTCATCAAATCCACAAGATTGACTCACCAATTTTGAAGGTTTCCTTCTCCTTCAGACAGGAAAAATAGTCCATTCACCATGAAAATTCAAGCACAAAAGTTATGAAAGAAAAGAAACTTTATTTGTGAATAACTAAAAAATTAAACACTTTTCTGTTGGTTATGTCAATGACAATATAAAAGATTATTTTTGTTTTCTTTGTGGATTTGATTTCTTAATCTTTTGATATGTTGCATTTTTTTCCTTTCTTATTAATTTGGCATTTGATAACTATATGCTGTACGAATTTTTCGCACGGGCCTACTAGTTATTAATAATAGTGATTTACTTAATTTTGAGGCATATCATTTGCTGAAGAAGGGAACAAATATTACCTGAAACGTTCATTAATAAATAGTGATCAAAGACTAGTTGTGATTATTTATTCAATTTACCTTAAGGTAAATAAGTGTGATACGATATATAATTATTTATGCAATTATCTGCATCATCAAATGTTTTTTTAACTTTTTAAAGAAATGTTTTGTTTTTTTTCTTCTTTCAACTTTATTTGCTTATTACATTTAAAAAAAAATCCCGATACAAATTTGATCCAGTAGGGAGGGCCGAACTTAACCTGCTGTTCTAGACAAATTAATATGTAAATGATTATTACGATATTATTATTAGCCAATGATCTTTCTTAACTGTAAAGCTATTATGGTATGTGCAGACTAGTATAAATCAGCTTCTGTTTAGATGGATTATTTATATATTTTTTTTTTTTATTCGTTCAGAGTTATGTGATTTCTCTTGTCATCTGTATCATCACGTGTTATAAGGCTTCTCCACTTTTAGTCTATCATTGTTTCTTAGTGGTTTTGGTAATTTATTTATTGACTGCCAAATTTATTTGTATTTCAGCTGGGTCAAGAGAAGAATAACTTATTTTATAATATTTATTTATAATTGATATTTTTACTGCTAGTTTCTAGATTATACTTCTCAATAAAAACCATTCTACAGTTAAAGTTTCTCATTAATAATAGAGAGCCATAGTCATAAGTTTCACTCTATTTATATACTTAATGTAATTTTGTTTTTTCAGTTGTCTGGCAATGAAAGTAAAATGGATAAGTGGATTCTCAGCCGACTTTCAGATGCTGTTGAGGCTTGTAACAAAGCATTTGAAACTTACGACTTTCCTTTGGCCACTACTGCCTGCTATAATTTATGGCTTTATGATTTTTGTGATGTTTATCTGGTGAGTTATATCTGAGTAGTACTCTTAGTCAATTTGACTTTATTTTTTTAATTTATAATTTTGGATAATTCAATTTTGTCGTCAGTCTCTTGTTCACCAGTTCATTTATCAAGAAAAATGAAATGTTTCTAAACGATCACTGATTAATTCTTACAGTCGACTCTTGAGACTTTGAATTATCAAGAGGAAAGAAAAAATTAGAATTATTAAGAGGTTTTATTATATTTTTGAAAATATGCATGAACTTACACAAATTTTATGTATACATAACGTCAAGTAAAAATAATGAAAACGACAAAAAAGAGCAAAAAATTACATATTAATATTGCAGTAGATAACATATCAAATTTTACAAAATAGGAATAGTTTTTTTGTTTTAATGTGGCTTGGCATTTCTATTCTTTAAAAAAAAAAAAAATAATAAGAATAAGAATTTTATTCCTTTGTTCTTCAGAAATGTAGACGATGATGATGGAATATTGAAAGTTTTAGCGATATATATATTTTTTTATTCACTTTCCACGGTTCGATAATTTTTTTTTTATCAGGCGCTGTAAGGGAGACGTACTTCTGCCTTGTACTTATCATCATGATAAACTAGAATTGAAAAGTTAAGCTGGACTGAAAATAAGAAAATACCATTTGGAAAATGAGGAGACAACATTGCTATGAAAAAATTATTTAGAAAAGTTCATATACTGTTACTTTGATTGAACAAATTTATAAAATTTAATGTAGTCTTTTAAAAACAAAACAGCCTTTTGAAGGAATTGCTATCAATTATATGGTAAAAAAATGTGAGGCACTTAAATTTTCAATGTCCCAATCGGCTTAATGACTATTGTGTAAATTAAAAAACAAAACAAATATCAAACTTTTTCGTAATTTTAAATACATGTATTTATAAAAATTGACTGGTATACCTTAAAAATTTCGTTTTAATTTTTTTAAATTCGTTTAATTTGAAATCTTGGATAAATCAAATTTTTTGTGTGATCTTTTAAATTAATTAAGTTTCACTTTACTTATACTGCGTATATTTCAAAATTATAAAAATATATTTATAAGTACATCTGCATGATGGACAATCTTCTTATTTATATTTAGTTTTCATTTTCAAATGATTTATATTTTTACATGCATTTAACATGACGGTTTCACACTCACTAAGTGTTTTTCATAGTTGCAATTGCCACTCATTAATATCTGAATAGATTGGGTCTGTGAATCCGTTTGGATGATAATAGTTCACAACCAAAATTGAGGCTTATTAATAAGTTATAATTCACAATGTTGGTATCAAAAATCGTGTAGTATGTTGTAGGTAAATGAAGTATTGACTGCGCCATTAATTCTTTCAGTCATGTTATATTAATTCAGATCATTATAGAAGAAAAATATTCTTTGATCCTTGAAAATATAAACACTTTTTAATAGTACTTAAAAAATATAAAACGTCTATTTTATATAAATATTATTCACGTTATGGTTCAAATATTTTCTATTTTGTAGGAATGGCTGAAACATGTTTTCTCAGTGCAAGATGATGTTAAACAATCTGCTGCCAGGATAACCCTGCTAAATATATTAGATGTAGGATTGCGTTTGATTTCTCCCATTATGCCATTTATTTCTGAAGAGTTATATCAAAGGCTGCCCCTGGACAAGTCTCCTAGTATTATCGTCGCACCTTATCCTGAACCAGTATGTATCTGTTTTTGTGGTATCAAAATGAATCTTGGAGAGGTGTATTCATAAAAAAAATTGACTTTTTATTGCCAAATATTAATAATTTCAGGAAACCTATTGCTTGAGGAATGAAAAAATTGAAGAGGAAGTGCAATTTATCCAAAAGACTATTCATTCAATTCGTTCAGCCAGATCGGATTATAATCTTCCCAACAAAGCAAAAACAGAAAGTAAGTGTTAAAGAAAAAAATAAATGAGGAGAAGAATAGTTGGGGTGATCAGTCAAATAAGAAGGCAAAATAAATTATAATATGTATTTTGTCATTTGCCGACGTTTCGACCTGAAGTTCAGGCCATCATCAGGGCTAAGAAAAAAACCAGATAACAAGATATGAGAAACAAAAATTACAGTAAAATGCAGTTATTATAATAAAGACAATAGTAAGAACAAGAGACAAATAATAATAACAGGTACAAAGTGTGGAATGATGAAGTAAACATAGTCAAAAAGGTGATATAAGTATTGTAAAGGGAATCTTAGAATAAAATGTAAAACAGAAAAATATGAAGTTATATAAGAAATGGAAATAAATAGGAAAATTAAGATATTGTGAATTTTGTGAAAATCTCAATTTTCTATCTAAATATTCTATTCACAATATGTTAATTTTACAATTTATTTCCATTTCTTATATAATTTCATATTTTTCCGTTTTACATTTTATTCTAAGATTCCCTTTACAATACTTATGTCACCTTTTTGACTATGTTTACTTCATCATTCCGCACTTTGTACCTGTTATTATCATTTGTCTCTTGTTCTTACTATTGTCATTATTCTAACAACTACATTTTACTGTAATTTTTATGTTTCTCATACCTTGTTATCTGGTTCTTTTCTTAGCCCTGATGATGGCCTGAACTTCAGGTCGAAATGTCGGCAAATGACAAAATAAATACTATCATTTATTTTGCCTTCTTATTTGACTGATCACCCTAACTATTCTTCTCCTCATTATTCACGACAGTCAACTATTTAACCACTATTAAAAAAATTAAATCATTTCAATATAAGTTTATCTGATCATTTTGTTTTTAATGTGTTTTATTTATTGTGCATTTTGGATTCATATTAAGTAGAGAAATATATTTGATTATCATTAAATTATATTTTTAATGATAATAGAAAACAGTTATACAAACTGTTCAATTTTCTTAAAATTGATATTTGACTGATGTTTCACTGTTGTACTTCAGTTGCAATATGTGCTTTATTTTTTCTTATTCAAAAGATTTTTCAATTTATAAAATGTGTTCGTGAGAATATTTTTGGTCATTTAAGCCTTAATTTATTATTGATTAAGTGAAAAATTTCTCTGTTTTTGTTTTAAAAAGTTTAAGTATTACAAAGTCTAATTATTACATAATTTACATACATATATATATTAATTTACACAGCTTGTTTTAAGTATTTGCTTTGAAATACTTTAAATGTTGATACTATAATATATTTTAAATAAACAAAATGCTATTTATTTTGAATTATTATTAATGCTTTTTATTTATATTTACAGCATTTTTTAAATCTTCTGATGAAGAAACTTGTAAAATCCTTTCTGACTATTCAGAACTAATAAAAACCTTAGCTAATTGTAGCTCATTGAAGTCGACAGCTGAACCTCCAGAAGTTGTGGCTGCAATATTGACAATATCTGATAAATGTCAAATTTTCTTGATATTGGAGGTAAATTAAAATTACGTTAATTATTTTATAATATTTTTTAAAATTTATTTTATGTCAATTTTTATCATGTTATTCAAAATATCCTCAAGTTAAATTCTATCATCCCCTACTACTACTGGTAGGGGAAACTAGTCTGGCAAGTGGACCCTATTGTGATCCTTTTTGCCAACCTCTGACAGCTACCTTGAGGTTGCCGCTGCCTACTTACCAGAGTGGGAATGTCACTATTCATTTCTCTGGGCTGCCGAGAAATGAAAAGTGACTGACCTAGTTGGGAATCGAACTCACAACGTTTTGAATCTGGCATGCTGGAACGCATGAACCAACGTGCTCGGTCATCTTATCTTCTATCATTCTCTAACTCAAATTTTGACTAAGATGGGTTAGATAACTAACTGAATTAGTTTTTTTCACTCCCAATCAAATGGTATTCATGCTTATGTCAATTTTTTTTTTTTTAATATTTGTTTATTTAGAAATATTACATTCTGTCACAATCAAGGACATTTATAATAGTGTTCAGAGAGCACACTCACACTCTATTTACAATAAGTAAAAAGGTCAAATTTAAGTTACGTGACATTTTGAGGTTTAAATATGCTATAAATTAAAATACTGAGGTTATTATCAGTCAAATTAGGCTTTTTATTATTTTTTTTTAACCTCTTTTTAAAGTTGTAAGAATCAAGTTAAGTGATTTGAGAGTTTATATGGCAATATATGCAGGATAAGGCATTTATTTTGACTTTTCTCTTTTTTTGTTCCATTTTTTACTTATTCAATTTTAATTGCAAAAAAAAAAAATGATCAGTGTCATATTTATAATGATTTATGGGTAAATACATTTTTTTCTTCTAGGGTCTGATAAACATAGAAGAAGAAATTACCAAGCTAACAAAGAAAAAGGAAGGAGTGCTTGACAGGATAAAGAAATTGGAACAGGCCATGTCTGTTCCTGATTATGAGGCCAAAGTTCCTGAAGATGTTAAGCAAAGCAATATTGAAAAGCATGGGCAAAGTCAAGGCGAGCTGGAGAGACTGACAGAGGCATTGAAATCTCTTGAAATAATGTCTTCCAAATCTTAAAGCAATAGTCTTTTTTTGCATTTAAGGAATCGTTTTGTACATATTTTTTATCGAATAAATTTTGGAACTTTGTTACGAATTTGAATTATTTATTGCTTCATACTTTCATAGATTTATATTTCTAATTGGTATTAATTTTGTAGACATTAATTTGTCATTTCGGGTACAGAATTTAATTTTAATTTATTATTATTTTTGTAATAATACTCAATAGTTTAATTAAAGAAGAAATTTGTTTTCATATGTTAATTTTTTTTTTTTTGTACTTGCTATGTAGTATATTCAATAATGTGTGTATTAGTTAAAGATAATTTGTTTATTAACATCAGATATTTAATAATTATATTTACATGCTTTGCCAAGAATTTTAGACATATCAGACAGATACTCGTTTCAAATTTTTTTAGTTTGTTAAATTATTTTTTATTTAGGCTTATGATGAGAAGGAAAGGAGTGGGTATACAAAGAAAATATGATAGTAGCCAAAATGGTGCAAAATGATGAATGAAATGAAAAGTTAAAATTGTTTTATCCATCCTGGTTAATCATTAATGAACATATTTTGACTGATTTATTAATAAATATATATTAAACTTTGAGTTAATAAATAAATAATACTTTAAGCTGAGTGACTAATTGATGGACTTCCTTCATCAGCAGCCTCTTCTGTTTCTGTTCATTTTGGTTCCTGTGAAGGACCTCTCTCCTTCAGTTTATATCAGCTTAGGGTATCTTAATACCCTATTTCTCTTATAAAATAACGTATTTTTAATTTTATATCGTCCTCGGAAGTCTTCAGGAATTTTAATAATTTTCACTAATCTTATTTACTTCCTATTTTTTTATTTCATGTTTATATAATTAATTCATGATTACTCTTTTTAGGATGTTTCGGGTCTTAACCCATCATCAGTCTTCATTTATTTCTTATATGTTATTAGGTCTACCTAACGGCAGACCATGCCCCATTTTACAAATTATACAAATGAAAAAAATGTATGAAAGACAGAAATTGTTAAAGAAGAGAATAGTTGAAAACTTCTCCTGGAGCAGTTTGAAATAATCTTATCTGGGTGTTGGGATTAGGGCTCAGTATCTGGCAATCCTCACGGTTGGGGTGCTCCTCTGGTATTTTACCTCGTATGTAAAATAAAATATTACATGGTCACTAAAAACTTTTTTATATAATAGAAGGTACTCTTTGATGTTACTCAATTTTTTATAAAAATTTTCTCATATTTAAATTGAAATTATCAATAATTATAGATTTATGAGATCTAAGCTCAATTGTGACATAGAAAAGGAATAGACCTAATGGAGTACTAGAGTATAATTATGTAATGTTTTTAATTTGATTACATTGAAATTTGAAAAAAATAAAATAAACTTTACAGGAGTGAAAAATCTAATAAATTAATCTTGACTAATTTCATTATCTCATTCAAGACACTGAAACTAAAATCCTAAAAAAATTAAATGACAAATTAGTCGTATAACTAAGAAATAAAAAACTAGGAAGTAAAAAATATCGCTGTACATTATTAAAGTAGTCTATTGTTCAGAATTAACCATATAAAGTTCATAAAATGTGTTTTCAGAGATCTTGAGAAAGCATAATTAAACACATTTTAGTTGATTATAAACATCACAGATTAAATTTTATTTCCACTTTTTGTTTCGAAGACTATTATAAAAAAGCTCTGCAACCAACATATGAAGTTAGAGTTGTATCCAGCAGAGCCTTACATTCCTTAAAGATTGGAAATATGCTTTTATTTTCATTATAAATTATGATTTAAAAAACACCTAGTCATCGGGTATTTTTTCTGTAGTCTGATAATTCTATGTGTACATTAGTAGCGAGCAATATATGTGTTAAATATTGAGAAGAGCATTGTGTTGTAGTTGTTCCCTTTACCATTTCCAGTTCTAAAAATCCTAACTCTATTTCTGTTCGGAATCGACCCATGCCTCAATTGAATGTTTTTGTTGGAAATTTTGTCTAGAATCACCCTCCACAATTTGGCCATTAAGAATTGAGACATCGTATATAATATAATTTAGTTACTTTCCTTTATCAATGACCATTAAAATTTAGCAATAACCAATGAATTTGTTGCATAAGCTGATTATAATTAACATATTCCTTTATCACTATGAAAAACTTACAAATTACAATTTTAATTTCTGTAATACTTGTGATTATAATTGTGATTGTATACTGTAAGTACAAGAATTTTATAATGTATTTGGTAATAAATGATATTAAAAGTTTCAAGTAAATATGTTCTTTTTTCTTCACTCATTACAATGGCTAATTACACCAATTCCTAACTATTAGGGAACAAATTTTGAAAAGAATTTAAGAACGCCACAATATCTGCTTTGTTTAGTGTGTTTTCTAAATGATATATCACATTCTAAAGTTTGAGGCTATATCAGTAATGTATGTATGCAATTTTATTTATGTGCATACCAATAAAAAAACATTTACTGAACTTTGTAGGAGACCAGAAAATGCTATTGAGAAATTTGAAAAATATTAATAACATTTGGGTCTATCAAAAATGGAACTTATCTTTTAGATTAGACACCACAAAAAAAAAAAAAAAAAAATTGGTGTCCTTAATGTAAAAATAATTACATTCTTAAATGAATATAGTAGAGAGCCACATTCAACGTGGTTTTGATTTTAGCTTAATATAAAATAATATATATGCAATAAATACTCAACGAACTGACCTCAAATGGTATATTTATAATATTATCTATGTCCTGATTCGTTGCATTTCACAATCTATCTTGTCACCACATTTATTTTTTGGGAGTTTAGTTTAACTCGTAATAAATCTTAATTCTGTTTATAAATAGAAATAGGCTTTCCTAACCCTAGTAAAGCACTATCTGTCCAATTAATATTAAAAGTCAGACGTGTACTACCCACAGGAAAACAGCTGATGTTTGTTTGTTTATTTGTGGTTTACCATCCTAACGTGCTTCAACTTAGGTTTCCCATCTGGACTTATTATTCTACAGGTTACCAACATATTCAAAGCAAAATAGAAGGTCTAGATCTATTCCATGTCTGCCACAATATATTTAAATCCAACAAAGCCATATGTAACAGATACCATTTCTAACTCAAGAACTCACGGTGTCAATTTAAATTACTATATTATTAATAATTAATATATAATACATTAGAGGATAAAATAATTCTTGTATGACATTGTTTCATTTGAGATTTATAATTTAAACATTAATGAGATCAATATTTATTCCTTTAATATTTACATTTAGTATCTCTTAAATTAAAAGTTTTCAACAAATAAATGTCTTAGAAGTGATCTGCTAAAATAAACCAACCTAGTGAAATTTTATAATTATCATTAATAATAAGACTAATTATCATTCCAAACTTAGTAATATAACTTAAAAATATAAATCAGGACCTCAGCAGCCCATTAAGGGCCCAAGGATTTTGATATTGTGTCCTACGTTTGACAGTATCCATTTTAGGTTTGTGTGAACCCAAAAACATATGAAAACTCATTCTAATTCCTTAAAGTAGGAGTCTCCAATTTTCTTGGTCCCTGGGACACCATTGAGAGCTCCACTAAGCCCTGTGGGCGATAGCTTGTAGTGAAAAAAAAAGTGTGTTCTATAAATGACACTTCAGTTGTAAAATGAGCTTCCTAATAGAAACAATTCATGTAGTATGACTTACTAAGTTCATATTTTTAAAAATTTTATCTTGTAATCGAAGAAACTTATGGGCTGGATTGGAAGTACTTGTGGACCATAATTTGGAGACTCCTTATTTAAACATCAATCATAATTATTATTTTAAATCAATGAAAAAATAAATCAAAAATGCTAAAATAATGTTTTGTTACTATAGATTAATATTTAGAGTATGAAAATAATGATAGTATTTTTTTTCATGAGTTTAACAATTTTTCTTTAACTCTATTATTACAGTTATGGTAAAATTGATGAACCATATTGAAGGTAGGCAATGAAAATCTTTTTCCATTTTGATGAATTTCACAAGAGAAAAAAATAATTGTTCATCACATAGTAAAATCCTTACTTATTTATAGATATTAAGATATTTCTATCAGGGCTTGAAACGGGAAGTTGGCTTTTATTTCTTATCAGTTTCAATAAGACTAGAATTTTTATTTCAATTGTTTTTCTGTTTAGCACTTTTCTTCCATGAAACTTTAAAAAAAAAAGAATTAATAGGACTTTTATTTTATAAATCTAGAATAAATCAATCTATTTCATCAAAAAGTAAACTTAAAAAATGTAATTGTATCTAGTTACTCAAACAAAGAAAATATAAGAATCAGGCAATTCATTCAAGAAAAATTATATCTGTAATCTAAGCCCTTAATTAAATGTTCAACATTTGCAATAAACCTATAACTTAATTACAATAAAAAAAATTAGGAATTTTATTTTAAAAAGTTCCTACAAAACTTAAAATGCAACTTTTAAAGAAGTTTTAAGCCATGATATCTATGTGTTCTCTTTGTATATAAGGCTTCATGTCTGGAGTTATTTGATATTCAATAGAAATTTTCCATAACCTAATAGAGTTGAAAAAAAGGTTTTCATTGCCTAATATATGCCGTTACCATTACATACTTTAATTGTACAATATCACAGCCTTCAGTGCTACCACTAGCAATATTTGTAAATTTATTATACATTTTATAATATTAGTCCTTTTAATAACATCAAGATTAAATCAAGCTATTAGATCGATAACTGAAGTCCTTTAGCAGATGGAGAATTTCAGTGACCATTTGATAATTGTTCTTAACCTCATAAAAGTAACCTAAATGCTTGAATGGACCCGGAACCACTATATCAAACATGATTTTTTTCAGCTTAGGCCTGAGTTTATCCATTGCCTGAAAATAATTAATTTAATTAAATAGTTAAATTAATTGTATTTAATTAAATATGATATGTCATAGAATTAAGTGGAAGCTTTATGTTTATAATGCTTCTAGCATTTTATTGGATTTTTTAATACACATATATATTTAAATTACCTTTTCATCAACAAAAATATCGTCTGCACCACTTACTAAACCAATGGGAACTTCAATATTTTCTAGATTATACTCAACTGAAGAGTGATGTCTTTTGTAAAGTACACTGGTGCTATCATATGGGCCAAAAGTTCCATCTAGTTAAAGATGATTTTGATAATTAATTAAAAACATATATATTATTTTCTTATTTTTCTTTTTGTAGGAAGCTTCGGTTTATATTTTTAAGGTTAAGGCAATTAAACTTAATTGCCTTAACCTTAAAAATATTTATTATTGTTATAAACAAAAAATTATTAAAATAAGTAATATTGTTTAATTGAAAAATAAATACCTCTTGCTATAATTCTTGAAATATGTTCAAAAACTTTAACTGATGTACCCCCAAAACTGCTCGTCACGTAGTCAGATAATGGATGCTAAAAAAAATAAAAATAATATGTAAGAATAAGAATTTTATACCAACAGTTATAGAAGTTCTACTTTTTTTTTTTCAAAAACTACCTAGGCTGTTTCATTGGAATAAAAAAGTTTATCGCAATGTTTTCTTGATTAATAAAATTATTTTATAAAATAAAACAGTCCTGGAACAGCCCACTTATGAAAATGAGGCTGGTAAATGTGTCTGAATCATAATCTAATAACAGCATGCTTGAGAGACGAATGTCTTCAACCACTTGATTGATTTAGTTAATGATTTATATCAGGTACTTATTTTAGGGTTAAGCGGACCTCAGAAGTGAATATTCTAAAAATGTATAAGCCTACAAATTTTTTGTCAAAAGACAATTCAATTTTCTTAATAAGGTTGTGGGCCCAGTTCATTAAGGATGTTTTTTTTTTTTTTCCTCCCCTTGCCTTTAAGGCTATACGGGGTTTTCCAAGGCCAGGTGATGAGGGCCGGGCACCAGTGGTACTGTGCACACGCATTAACCCATTCGCCCATCCCGCCCACTAGGATCATTTAGGATACTAATATTATAGCTTAACCACAATTGCTAGGCTGCCCTAGGGTGAACTTGTGCAGTGCAAAGTTGAAGCTGGCACTTTGTTTTTCCTCATACCTTTCAATATTAATTGCAAAATATTCACAAATATCCTAAAATGTACACAAAAAACTTTAATCATTTAACAATATAATGGAAAAATATTTTTTGCAAATTAGACTAGTAGCTCTTGAAATTAATGCGTTCAATAAACTTTTCAATATTTTAGTATAAATATATTATTATATTTGCATAGATGAAAAGCTTCTGTTCATTGGACTAATTTCTTGAATCTTTATTCAAGTGTGTGTTCATGTTTGTTTTCATGAAAATGTTTTTGTAAAAATTAACAATGGAGTACATTTACAAAGTATTTAGTTTCTAAATATAAATATCCAAATTGACTTACTCCTCTATCATTCTGACCTTCTCAATTATTAATCTGTAAAACATTTTCCAAAATGTTCCGATTAAACACTTATTATTTTAATGTACTTGGTTTTAATGGAAATAATTTAATAATAAAATATACCTTTGCAAAATCCAGTGATATTTTTATGTTTTAGATGCTATATAAGAATCAAAAGACATTAATTTTGGGAAAACTTTCAGATTTCCTTGGAGGAGTGGGATAGCTCAGTGGTAGGGCACTGAACTTCCAATGCTCAAGGTCCCAGGTTCGAATCCCGGCTCTCAGCTAATGGCAGAAAAATTATTTTGTTTTATCGGCCGTGGGGTAAGAAGACCTTCCTGGGTCATACCCAGCCTCTACAAGTGGGTACTCTTAATTAAAATAATTAATTAAGGGGAAAATCTAGCGGTTGACCGTGATCCTTTTCAATCTTCTATGTACACAACCGTTGGTCTTGAAACAGTACTTGCCCTAAATAGTACTGAACCCAAGACCCTTCATGGGTTGTAGTGGTTTTTTTTTTCTTCAGATTTATTTCTTTTCATCAATTAATCAAGAATTGAAAATAATTGACCATAACGCTTTATAGTAAATATTAAACTTACATAATATTAGAAGGTTTTAATGCTAAATCCTAGAAAAAATTACATAAATATAATCAGAAAAGATTTTACTTAAGATACTTACAGGCAAACTTCCTTTATCAAAACGAAACAGTAGTTGAAGAACAGCTCTGCATATAAACAAATCTGATACACAAGAACCATGAAATAATTTTATGAAGGGTTGATTACTGCCAAGAAATTCATACACATTTATTTTTCTGAGCATCTCCTGATTCAAAAGCATAGAAACTCTGTTATAAATATTGAATTAATTCGCTATTAGTTTTTATTTAAGAAATAGTTTAATTGTTAATTAATACAACAGACTGTATTTGTGATGGTACGGAAATGATTTACTGTGGTTATAATTTAAGGAATACTAAGTTAGGAGTTGCGGTCAGCAATTACACAATATTTATTTTTAACCTATGTTTCAATCTATGTTTTTGGTCTGATTCAGAACTAAAATGATTAAGGTACAAAAAATTACTATTAATTGTTGCCAGGTACAAAAAAAAAATAAGAGTTGATGTTAAATTGGTTACAGATCTATTTTAGGAGGTGAGATTTCATGAGAAATCATTTTTGATGTCATATAAAGGGTTACAATGATAATAGAGTAAGTCAGTTTTGCCTTTTCTTTTGTTAAGTGAATGTTATGTAAATGTACTTTAATTATATATGTTAATTATTTGTACATATTTATATAAGAACATAGAATGTACTAGGAATCCAGGATTTAATTTTGGAGAGAGGGCTTCAGCTTGAAAGCTATTTTATATATATAATAACTACTTTCAAAGAAAAAGAAAGAAACTAACTACCTATATGAAATGGTGTTTAAGTAATTATTGTGTTCTATTAAATGTAATTATACAAAAAAGAATACTTTTAGAGATAATTTAAAATACTTTTTTCATAATATATGGTTATATTTTACTATTTTGGGGGAAGAGGGGAAGGAGGGGCTTCAGCATGAAAGCTCCCCAGTAGGTCTGCCTGTGGTATACACAATTAATAATAATAAGTTTCATGTACAAAATATTCACTTTCTGAATAAAAAGCTAAACTGACTTATTCTACTATCATTCTAACCCCCTATGCTGCTACTTCTTTTCATATATTTTTATATCTTTATCTATGCAATTCACATTATATCTATTCTTTGGCACTTTGAACTTTTATGGTTATACCTTGTTTTATTTAGCTCTGGTCAGGGGCAACAATTTGGGCTGAAATATTTGCATATATTAAATGAAATATTACGCTAACTTTGTTATATTTCTTAACTGCTCTCTCCAACCAACTTCTTAATTATTTCTATACCATCACCACCACTATGGAAATTAAATTAAACTATTATAGACATTGTGAACAAATAAATAAACTATACTCCTTATCAAAGGAATGGAGTTTATTTTACTTTTCTGTAAAATTTATGAGAGGCAATGTTAGGTTGATTTATTTTATAATTATTCTATAGATAGAAAAAGATCAAAAACATACCGCTAAAACACTTCCCCACTGTACGAAAACATCAACAGTCTGAAGCCGCACCCTTTCTGGAGGAAAAGCAATAGGTGCTAAAAGTACAGCAGAGTGAAACCGTTCACATATTTGTGGATCTTCAGAGCAAAGAATGAAAAAGGCTGTTGAACCCATTGAGTGACCAATGTAGAACATCTTTTGTTTACCAGTATTAGTCGTAATATGGTTCATAATTGCAGGTAAATCTTTTTTAGCAATTTCATCAATGCTTAAACATAAAATAAATACTTTTTCATCTAAAATACTGTTTGATTAAAAATGAATAATCTTGAAAATATTACTATTTCCTTCCACTGCAAGATCATACATTATAAAAAAAAAAGCTAAATTCATTCTCTATTCAATTTAATATATGTATATTGAATTCAATATAGTCACTATTGCAGGCATGTGATTAAGTTTCTGAACAATAGATTTGAGGCAGTTTAACGGACATAAAAATAAACATTTTTAGGCTTCCTGTGTTGGACACTTTATATGCAAGTCATTGTCATATCATAATAATCTATGTGGTATATTTAATTATTAAAATAAATTAAAAAATATGTCATGAAAAAATTTATTCTTCTTACTTTCACTTTTTTATTTCTACTAACAGCAAATTCAACTTTTATGCTCGACGGCTAAAAGTCTTCTAATTGTTTAGATTAGGGGTTTCTAAACGTTTTGGTCCATGGGGCACATTGAAACCACCATGTCCGGCAGGCTGGTGGGGATCTCCATTAAGTCCTGTGGCTCATGGTTTGTGATAAAAAAAAAAAATCTTGTTATGTAAATGACACTTCAGTTGTGAATTGAGCCTTCTGAGAGAAATAAATCATTTAATAAATGTTGTAGTAGCCTCTTATTTAAAGTGATTTATTAAATTTCATATTTTTAAATTTGGCCATTTGACCATGTAATCCAAAGAATTAATTTATTGATCGGAGGCCATAGTTTTGATACCCCTGGTTTAGATTATTTGGACAACTTTATGGGTTGTCTCAGAGTTCACATTATTCCACCACTTTCTTGAATAATGGAAATAATTTGTGACAAAAGCATTCGATCTGTCAATTAAATGAGTACTATAAATCCTCAATGCTACCGAAAGAAGAAAATTGAAAAGGCCTATATAATAGATCATTATCTTGTTCAAAATGATATATATTTCTGATACCTGGTTCAGATAGCATATTCTAGTAAATAAAACTGAGATATTAACATATGTTTGAGTAATTTCTTCAACATTACTTGCACAGTATTTTACAATTTTGGGCATTTATTAATCAAAGCTTTATCACTATTTCAAGGCATATTCATCCTAAACTATCATCACTATAAATAATAAGTTTCCAAAATCTAGCAGTTTGTTGATTAATTTGTTTATAAATATTTTTTTCATTAAAATTAATGGTAAAGGTTGTTAATATATATATATTTTAATATGATATATATCAAATAATAATAAGCTTTTTTTACAGGTCCAAATATTTGGCAAAGGATTTTCTTTTCAAAAATAAGGAGTCCAAGCCGCAGATTTGGACGTGTCTGATGAGTGTTCTATTCAACCAATACTTTGTTCAACAAGATAATGATGAGCTTTTAAGATTTCTGCTTAGGCCATAATGACATCTATTGGGATTGATGAGTCCTTGGCTGATTTATATTGAAATTTTCTTTCTATAAATAAATTATTACCGTACCATAAATAATCAAACTATAGAAGTAAACCTACAGATAAACTATTTATGTGCTAACATATTGAAAAATATTTAAATATATTTGTTGAAGGAAATTAGTCGACTGTTCTATATATCATGGGTGATAAGTAAATAGTCAGGATTCAGTCATTTTAAGATTTTATTGATGCCGACGTTTCAACCTAAGCTTGTGGATTAGTCATTATCTGGTCCATGTTACCAGATGCTCTGATGATGAACCCAAGCTTGGGTTAAAATGTCGGTGACAATATAAATCTTAAAATTAAATATATTTAAGATAAAATGATACCTGAAATTCCAATATTCAAAATTATTGGAAGCGGATGAGAGAAAAGTATGCTTGTGGCTATGGATATTTCCCCTCATGTTTGGAATCCATACATCATAGCCATTGTCAGCCAAGATTGTTGCTAAAAATTTGAAGAATATTAATTTATTTTTAGAATAAAATTTAACAGTACATATTGGGTAGAGTATGGAAATTTATTTTCCTAAACACTATAAATCTATCGTTCTTATTTAACTAAATTATTAAGAGAAAAAAGATTTATTGTTACCCAAATTATTATCCCTCTCCATTAAAAGCCACATGTCAGAAGTGCCCATAAATCCATGCATAAGAAGTGCTGGAGTGGCACCAGGTTTTGGAATTCTGAACATAGTAAGAATGTAGCCATCTTCGGTGATAACTTCATGCTCCTCTGAAGGTAATCCTAATTCCCAGAGATAGGATGACTGTAAGAAACAAAACAACTCAAGATAAGATGCTTTAGAGATGGAGAAATAGTTGATTTTTAAAATTATATGGATGGTTAGGATATATAACCATTAATTTTCTATTTTTTATGATGATTCTGATGATTCTCATGCTTGGGTAGAAATGTCGGCAAACTTAATAAACATCAATTAAGATTGCACTAGCGGATCCAGGATTTAATTTTTGGGGGGGGGAGGTAATCTTTAGCCTGAAAGATTTTTTTTTCATATACATATAACGATAATTAAGTTGAAAAAAAATATCTGGTGTGTCCACTCACATGACTTTCGTACCTATTTCAGAAAACTTTTTATGTCTACATATGTCCATGAAGAACCAAAAGAATTGAATTAGATTTATTTTCCTGAAAATTTATCAAAGAAAAGATTTGAGTGCTATTTATTTGATAAACTAAAGCAATGTAAACCGGCTTGAGGTAGATCAGTGTAAAAATTTCAATACTCACTAATATTGCTGATCAAAAACTTGTTGCTATAGCTTAGTATTGTCAAACAATAATTTCTGTTAAAAGTAGAGGAAATAGTGAAGATTGTGTGATGCAGGCAACAGATTTTCTTACTTTCACTTAGTCATCTTTATTCTCTCATTCATCCCTTTTTGACACCAGGATATGAACCAGTAATCTTACATTGGAAATTGAATAGCTGTAACTTCGTTAATAGTTGTCCAAAATGAACGATTTTTATATGGTTTTGTAGGGAATTTCGACAAGCTAAACGGCGTTTTTTTCCGGACTCAAGGAGACAGACAGACAGACCAATGGCTAAAAATGTGTTTTTCGGACTCAGGGAGCTCTGAAACATATAGATCCGTCGAAAACCGCATATCGGAAATTTGACCCGATTGCAATACTTTCCTTGCCTAGTATAGGTAGGAAAGCAATAAGTTAAAAATGTGTAAAAAACAGAATAAGCTAATACTGGTTCGATTCCGATGATTTTTTTTGTTTGTTTTGTTAGTAATTGAATTACCTTTCAAAAGTGTTATTATAAATTTTACCGTATAATATATACTTAGGGAGTTAGGCCCCATAACATTTTTCTTTTCTTTATAACTTTTTGGTACTTTTAGTCTAGCAGGCCGGACTGAAACCTCACCTCTTATCTATCTTATCAAACGTCACGTCACATAACCTCCCTCTTCTTATCCCCTTTCAGTTATTGCATTGTTTAGTTTTCAGTTATTCCCTTATTATGTTCACTTATTAAATTGTTTACTTTTGGTCCGTTTGTGTTTATTTTTCATTATTTTTAGTTTTTGGCCCGTTTGTGTTTATTTTACTTTTTTTTTTTAGTTTGTGGCCCCTTTGTGTTTCTTTTTGTCATATTATGGATCTTCTTAGAATATGGAATTTGACGCCTTCAGAAGAACAGGCACTTCAATATTTTTAAAATGTTGGGGTACTTGCCGACTTGAATCGACGTGTGATCGAGGTCATCGAATGAAGTCAACCAGGAAGGCCAAATGGAGATGCTTTCGTAGGACTTATGACACAAAACTTTCAATAAGGAAAGGAACATGGTTGGAGGGCTCGAGGATTTCGTTTTTAACAGCTTTAAAATTGATTTATGGATGGTCCCATAGCTTGATAACGATGAAGTGGGCCAAAGAGCAGCTGAAACTATTCAACAGAGCTATGGTAACGTGGAACAAATGTCTAAGAGAGGTTTGTGCCCATGACATGTTATACAGGCCAAGAAAAAAAATTGGAGGACCTGGCAAAGTGGTTGAAGTAAAAGAAAGTCTTTTTTCTTAACGAAAAAATCATGTGGGGAGAGTTTTATCTCAGCAGTGGATGTTTGGTGGAGTTTGTCGAGAAACAGATGAATGTTTTATCTTTTTATAAAACCGATTTCGTTTTATATTTTTTCTTTTCTTTGTAAATATGTTCTTTTAAATGTGTTTTTTATTATTTCATTTTGATGTTTTATATGTACATATCTTCTTAAAGTGTTTTTTTTATTATTTCATTAATACATGTGTCGTCAAATAAAAGTATTTTTCTTGTTATTAAATTTGTTTTTGTATCTGTTTACACTTTCAATAATACGAATTTAATACAATAATACGAAGATATGAAGTAAAAGAAGGCTTATCAGTGCTTTATGGGAGTTATCAGTGTTCAGGTTATAAACATTCTCAGATAGCAGTCAGTAGCGGCCCCTTAGACGAAAAGTACCTAGGAAAGTTTCATCAAAATCGTTAGAGCCGTTTTCGCGCTACAGTCTATAGAAAAACATGTTTTTCATTTATTGCGTTCAAGGTATTGCGGATGGAGCACCGAATATCCGTCACAGGCATTAGTAATCAAAACCCCACAAAATAAAAAAAGAAGCAACAAAGTCGGTTCAGTAGTTCCCGAGGAAATCTTGGCACAGACCGACAGATAGACAGACAGACCAATGGCTAAAAATGTATTTTTCGGACTCAGGGAGCTCTGAAACGAATAGATCCGTCGAAAACCGCATATCGGAAATTTGACCCTATTGCAATACTTTCCTTACCTAGTATAGGCAGGAAAGTAAAAAGAAATTAACTACCTACATGAAATGGTGTTTAAGTGGCTCTTAAAGTCTTATTAAATCTAATTACAAGAATACTTTAAGACATAGTTTTTAATATTTTTTTCTCTAAAACATGGTAATATTTTACCATTTTGGTGGAGGAGGAGAGCTTCAGGCACTTCTGGTCAAAGTAGTAATTATAACCATACTTTGGAATTAATTTATGCACTTTTATATTACATGCTACCACTGGCGGATCCAGGAATTTTCTTACGGGAGGGGGGCGCACCTCTGTACCACGTGTATGTACCCCCACCACTACCCATTTCCCCCACTCCTTAGCTGAGTTTAGCTGCTCAAAAGTCCTTATTTAAATGGTTTTAACAAAAGCAAACTCTATTTTTATTTAGAGTAAATTTTGACTAGTTTTCAGTGAACCTATCATTAATTACTTAAATTAAATAATTTTTTTTAGCACTTCCTATTCAACAAAAAATGTGACACATAAAAAAAAATCACAAAACTTTAATTCCATACTTTTCTGCTAAAAATCGAACCATTGTGTATATAAACTTTTACGTATTTATTGAGTTTTGCTATCATCCTTTAAATACTTTTCCCTACAAACCAGACACCCTTTATATGGATTTAGACATGTAAAAAACTAAATTTCTAGCACTGGTTACCAAGAGAAAACGTTTTAGAGCTTAAATTTCCAGATTTATCTGATCTTTTTGTTCATGTAATACCTCTAAGCAGTGCATCAAAGCGAAAAACGTATTCTTTAAGAAATTAAAAAACCTAAAATTGTGCGTTGAACGAGTACCTAAACTTAATAATTCGATTAATTGATATAGTTGACAACCAGGGTCAATGAACACTAATTTTTTCCGATATTGTCAAAATCTAAGAAAGATTAATGTAAATGGCGCTGCAGCTTGGAAATGAGTTCCCTAAGAAAAAAAAATCAGAATAATTTCCTGGCAGGAATCGCTAGTGCTGTCACGATAATAATTTTTTAAAAATATTAAATTAGAAAATTCGTGTATGGAGATGAATTTTTCCTACATTTCTCTTTTCTTCAAATAGCTGTTTTTTGTCACTTTTTTCGGTTTTTTTTTTCCACCATCCAAGGGAGGGCATGCCTGCTGTCAGAATTTGGTGGTGGTGGTCACGATAGGAATTTTGTGTATATTATATTAGGAAATTCATCATCTGTGAGGATGAATTTTCCTTGTTACAAGACCAATGGTTGTGCAGGGGGAACACTTAAGTCTCCCCTAAATACATGGTCCTGAATCAACCATCAATACCTACTCTGAAGGCATTAATCAGTGACTAAAATGATTTTTTTATTCACTACCATTTTAAACAATGAATCTGATGTCAGTTATCTGGGGTTTAAGGTGGATGGATGATGGATAAATAAACTTTTTATGTAAATCTTTAAAAAATAAATAAATAATATAAAATAACTTCTAATTTACTATCAAATGCTGTCTAATTTATTGATTCGTTGCAGTTCATTCATTATTTTTGGTAAGTGAAAATGGCATTGAGAACATGTGATCATGTCACAGCCTGATCTAGTTCAGAAGGGCTTTAAAGATGTGAAGGTTTATTCAGAGCTAAGAATCCCTGATGGTCATCAACTTTTTTTTTCTTCTCGTTTTCCTTATAGGATGTTAATTGCATAAATACTAGTTTTGTTTCAGACGAATTGTAATGAAGTCGGTGTCGAGAATTTATGTCAATCGGTACAACCACTTATTATTTTTCATAAATGTTCACATTCGCTGTGTGAATTCACTTCCAAATCTCATCAAAAGTATTATTTATAAGATTTTGATCGTTTCTATAACAAATGGATGTTTGAAAGAAATGTAATTGTAAGCAGTTCTTCACAACAAACAGTAAGTTGCTGATTTGACTAACCGGTGTTGGCGATTCAGCATTACATACCTGTAACGACCTGGAGGCCACAATGGCCAAGCCTATTGTAGTAACACAGGAGCAGGTACCATATTTTTAAAAAACAAAGAAAAGGCTTGATTGTCAACATTTTTATCTAAATTTAGTGACTTCACATACCACCAAGATCAGAGTATCACCATCAATTTATTTTTTAATCAAAATCAATTCTTTATTTGAAGTTCATAAATAATATTTTGTATTGAATTATCTCTTAGCGATCAATTTACAAGTAGTAGTATTTTTCTCAACTGTTCTTTTGATAATACAGACAGGCCCCGACAGAAGTGCCCAGAAGGGGATTTCATGGCGCAAGTTGCACCATAAACATTTTTGAGGGGGGCACATTTCGACGGAGTTATGAATTTTCGGAATAAAAAGTTTTGAATCAAAAGACAAATGGAAACATTTAAAATACTGCAGGGTGTATAATTGTATGTAATCTAAGAATCTTTAAATTACACTTTTTTTGCACTATTTTT